CTATCAAAGCTCTGACATACCTCTAAGATTTTCAAGCACCTCAAGGCTTCTCAGCCTCTAAGCTACAAGAGCCACCTTGCCCAAGCCTGAAGGTGGTATGACCGATCCCATCTGGACTTGGCCGAGCGGGGCCTGCGGGATTGCCTGGCATGTTTGACCAGACAATACCAGACACTCTGACGTTGCTTTTGCTGCTTTTTGCTGCTTTTTTTGCTGTTTTTTGCCCGGGGAGTCCCGAGAGCCAGGTCCTCGCTTTGGCATATAGGCAGCTGCCGGCCGGGCAGGACAAGTTGACGCGAGAAGAGGCGGCCGGAAGCGCAGCCTAGTTTGTGTGTGTGTGTGTGTGTGTGTACACAGGTACTCGCATTCTGGAAAGGCATCGCTGCCAATGAGTCTTCACATGCATGTATCGTTTTTTAAACACGGAAGATGGGGGTGCAGGGAACATTGAAGAGTCCTGTGCCAACGAAGACGCTCTTCAATGAAAACGTACCTGCAGTGGTGCACTTGGATGACTGCGGTCAGAACTGGTGACGAAACAGAAAGTCGGGCCCTTTTCGATTTCGCCAGAACAATGTTTTCAAGTTTTGAGGCCGGCTGTGGCATGTGTCAAGTTTCCCATGATGGGTGAAAACCAGGTTTGAGGCAGTGAAGAGCGTCTGCATCCGAAGCTTCGCTGTGCTGCAGTCTGTCTGGCGTTGCACTGTGCTGTGACTCAGTGGAGAGAGGGCGCCGTCGGGCTCGGTTTATTTCTGTTTGAGGACTCCAAGCCTGGCAACTACGTTTCAAGCTCCAGCCTTTTTGTTCTCATATTATGATGTCACATGCGTGTGTAAAAGGCAGAGAGGGAGTTGCACTTCGCCGGCTTCATCGCCTTCGAGTGCCTTGTCCGGAAGGATTCAGGACTCGTTGTTGGAGCCTTGCAGGAGTCTGACCACAAGGCCGGGCCCGTTGTTAATTTCTGTAAGAAATCCTTGTGCATGAGAAAGCACTTGAGAAGCTTTGTAGGTGATTATGGTCACCGGCGACTCACCACTGACAGTCACTTGGCAGTTATTCAATACTTGGTGCCTGAGATTTGTGCGCATAGCGGCAACTTGCGTCAACTTCCGCTCTGTGAGGCGCTTCACATTGCGCGGACCTGTGGAATCTCCCATCCACACTTGCCTGGGTTGCTTCTTTCGCTCCAGGCAGGTTAATACGTTTAATCCTTTTCACTGCGCGCTCTGAACATGGCCTCACCAGTACTGGCAGCCACATTTTTCGAGGCTGGGCATGCATGTCCAGAATGGGTTGTGGCCACAGGCTGGACAGCATTGCCGCGTTGCCGCATTGCTGCACCAGCTTACGCTGACCTCTGCAGGTGATCGCTGTGGTGAATCCTTTCCACTCGCCGTTGATGGGATCACCAAGCTCGCGAGTGAGTATGCCCTCATGACGACAGGATTGTGGTGTTGACACTCATATCGAATCTCTGATGTCAAGCCAGAATCGCGCATTGACAACCAGAAACGTTGCACTGGCTTCACTTGCAGAATCACGGGCACGATTGAGAACACTCCTCCGGGGTTCGCGCTGAAACGCTTCCAGAGAGGGAAAGTGCTGTGACGTTTCTTGTGACGACTTGTTGTGTGAGTGTTGTGATTGCGTTTCTATGAGTTTTGCCATATGCCCTATACATGACAGTGGGATGACGAAAGTTGACAATGTAAAATAACTTAGCCTACTCCATGTCTACTCGCGCACAAGCAGGAGACGCATTGGATGCAGCCGTCGCCATGGAGCGGAGAGCTTATCCAAAAAGAGCCTAAAAATGCAAGCACTGCAAGCTAAATTGCAGAATGCGTTGCTGTGCAGCCCTTTTGTAGCTCCAGCTTGGCGGCCCGAGGCCAGCCATGTGGGCAAAGGTCGACGAAATTCGCGTATTCGCCAGAATGACACCACAGGGAAAGGCCTTGACATAGAATGATTGTCATGTGATGCAAGAGCGATTTCTCCGGGTAATGCATGATAAACGATTTCAGTTTCAATTTAATCAGGAAATGAGCATGAGAAGCATTAAAACACAACTTTACTTAATCAAAACAACTCGTCAAAAAAGCCTTAAGTTTCATCACGACAGCAAAGCACAATGCAATACAATGCTCCCATGATGGTTTCGCAGCCCCCCCCTCCCCGGCCCCTCCCGCACCCCCACCCCCCCCGTTGCAAACATGAAGCGCGGTTGAAGGGTTTGGAAAGGATTCTTATGTTTGTTGTGCAAGTCCTCTTCATGGCATGATCTTTGCAAGGCAAGCTTGCACGGCTGGTTCGAGATAAACAAAAGTGGGTGGGGGAGCCCACTTTTCCATTTGCCGACACAATGCTTGCCAATGTTGGACAGGATCGCTAAACGAAGTCGTCGTCTTTATGAGTTAACTAACGTTTAATCTTTTGACGAAGCATGCTCTGTTTGCTCGGCTTGAAAGCAAATGCAAAAGCGGGGGGGGGGGGGCGGGGTGGGGGTCGCAGCTCCCCCTCGGCCCCATTTGCAAGCGCAAGCTGGACTGGTTTGGCAAGGATTGGTATTTGAATAAAGTGAAATATGCTCTTCAGCCAAGAAAAGCAGGAAACAGGGGTCGGGGGGCTGCAGTGGTCGGGGCACGCACGCATGCGGGCACGCACGCACGCACGCGCGCGCACGCACGCACGCACGCACGCACGCACGCACGCACGCACGCACACACACACACACACACACACACACACACACACACACACACACACAGACACACGCGCAGACACACGCGCAGACAGACCCAGACACACGCGCAGACAGACCCGCAGACACACGCGCAGACAGACGCGCAGACACACGCGCAGACAGACCCGCAGACAGACCCGCAGACACACGCGCAGACACACGCGCAGACACACGCGCAGACACACGCGCAGACACACGCGCAGACACACGCGCAGACACACACGCAGACACACACGCAGACACACACGCAGACACACACGCAGACACACGCGCAGACACACACGCAGACGCAGACACACGCGCAGACACACGCGCAGACACACGCGCAGACAGACGCGCAGACACACGCGCAGACATACCCTCAGACAGCCTGCAGACCCACGCGCAGACACCGCGCAGACCACGCGCAGCACACAGCACGCACACACGACACACGCGCAGACACACGCGCAGACACACACGCAGACACACACGCAGGGAAGACGCAGACCCCCACGCGACACACAGCAGACACACACACGCAGACGCAACACCCAACACACAACCCCAGACACCACGCAGACACACACCGCATACCACACACAGACACACACGCATAGACACACCACTCTACACAACACAACACGCAGACACACACCAGACGGCACACGCAGACACCCACATCAGACGCAGACACACACGCAGACGCGACACACACGCAGAAACGCAGACACCACGCAGACGCAGACACACACGCAGACGCAGACACAGACGCAGACACAGACGCAGACGCAGACAAAGACGCAGACGCAGACACAGACGCAGACGCAGACACAGACGCAGACACAGACCCAGACGCAGACACAGACACAGACGCAGACACAGACACAGACACAGACACAGACAGACACAGACACAGACACAGACACAGACACAGACACAGACACAGACACAGACACAGACACAGACACAGACACAGACACAGACACAGACACAGACACAGACACAGACAACACACACCACACAGACACCCACACGCACACACACAGAGACACACACACACACACAACACACACACACACCCCACACCAACAGCACACCACACACACACACACACACACAGAGACCCACATCTCGATACACACACACACACACACAGACCCACACACACACCACACACCCCACCCAGACACCCACACAACACATACACACCACAACACACACACACACACCACCCACACAGACACACTAGACACACCCACACTACACACACCACAGACACACACGCACACACCACACACACAGAGACGACAGACAGAGCCGCATCATAACAACAGACAGACAGACTAGAAAGACATACAACAAGACACACACACAGACAGACAGACGACAGACAGACAGACAGACAGACAGACAGACAGACAGACAGACAGACAGACAGACAGACAGACAGACAGACAGACAGACAGACAGACAGACAGACAGACAGACAGACATACAGACAGACAGACAGACAGACAGACAGACAGACAGACAGACAGACAGACAGACAGACAGACAGACAGACAGACAGACAGACAGACAGACAGACAGACAGACAGACAGACAGACAGACAGACACAACACACACACACCCACACACACAGACACACACACACACAGACACACCCACCACACACACACACACACAGACACACACACACACACACACACCACACACCACACACACCACACACACCACACACACCACACACACCACACACACACACACACACACACACACACACACACACACACCACACACACACACACACACACCACACACACACACACACACACACACACACACACACACACACACACCCACACACACACACACACACACACCCATACACACCCATACACACACACACACCCATACACACCCACACACACCCACACACACGCACACACGCCCACACACGCCCGCCCGCCCGCCCGCCCACCTACCCACCCACCACACGCACACACCATACGCACCCGTACACGCACACGTGCACGCACACGCACACTCACACACACTTACTTACTGACTTACTTACTTGCTTTCTTGCTTACTTACTTATTTGCTTACTTACTTACTTACTACTTACTTACTTACTTACTTACTTACTTCGGCCGCTGATTTTCGTGGACAGGCCAAGATCATCGAAGAGCTCCAGAAGCAATCCAGGCCTACGACACCTTTCAGCGTATTCAGCGTCAGAGGTGCCATCATTCCTGCTGGAGGCATGTCCTCATGTGTGGAGACGGTGGCAACGATGTTGGCGCACTCAAGCAGGCGAATCCTGTGTGCTGTGGTCTGTAGGGCTCGGACATGTTGGGACAGCAGGAAGGCTGGCTGCATGGGAGTGGACTGGTGATAGAGGTCGCAGGGATGCCTTTCAGAATGGAATGTGTTGCTCCGCTTACCCTCCGAGAAAAACCTTCGGCCAGCTTGCGGCTTATCTCTTGGGAGCTTCTTGGTCGTCACTTGCATTCCCCACTATGGGCAATTTGAATGCAGACACGTTGGCACAGTGTTTAGTTTTGGAAGCACTTTCGTGAGCATCTGTCAGCGACCGGTGCACGAACCGCCACTCCTGCAAGTGGCACGCGTCTTGCCAGCCTTGCGGCCCTACCCCGGTTTCCAGTACAGCAGAAGACCGCCAGCCTTCCAACGAACAAGCAAGGACTGCTTTATGAATATGCCTGTCCCGTTTTCTGTAATCATGTCCGGGTGTTTGGTACGTCGTCATGTTTCTACACGTTTTTGACTTGCTCGTCTACACACATGCAAGTACTCACAGAAAAGCACGCATCGTTTCCAGATCCATGATAGAAGCGCAAGGAAGCACTTCAGATTTCAGATCACTTCAGGCAGATGCTGGGTTGGCACTATTGGCTGGCTATGGCAATGCCGCGGGCTCAGGCAGTGCTTGACTTGAGTGAAATCTTTGAAGACTTTACCAGTAGTAAGATTTTGTTGACGCATGGTGAAGATGCCAAGAAAACAGCATCAGCACGACAACAATGGGGTCGACGCCGATGTAGCAGAGACGAGAACAGAAAAGTCGAGCACCAAAAATGAGTCCGAATCTCCAATTCGAGATGTTTGCCATCGTTTTGCTTAGTCCTGCTAGTCCGTGGACCATTGTGTTTCTTGATGTGTGCTGCCCATGTTAGCTTTTTGTGGCCTGGCTCCGGTTAGCGTGTCTCTCCGTCCACAGGTCAACACCGCAGACACCAATGACCTAGACAGCCCATCTGATAATGCCGTGCTCGATGACAAGAAGGCAAATTTGATTGATGGCTGGCAGGATGGTTTTGAACTGTGCCTTGTCTCACAAGGCTGAGGACATGCTGAACAAGCAAGATGCGGAACTTGCAAAGCGAAACAAACGAGCTGCAAAGGACGAGCTGTCATGCTTTCCATCGGGTGCAGCTCAGTTTCTAAGATACTAGTTGTTTCATCTTGTTCATAATTCGTCAGGACAGACAGAACTTTTTATGGGAAAAGCAGAAGGAACTTTCCAACCTTCAGAAGCAGTGGCTCGAAGAGGAGATGCAGGCTCCTGCCAGTGACGGCGCTATGTTGGGTAATGAGTGTTGGCTTCACATGGTTCTCATGAGGAAAGGGCAAAGAAAGGCGACAGCGGTTTCCTGTCACAGGCCCGGACCACCTGTGCTTTGAATGTCCGCATTGTGCTCTTTACGTTCTTTTGCAATGCGACCATATGTGGCCCATGTTCAGATGGGAGCGATGAAGTCATCAATGGGACGCTACACGGAGGAGCTAAAGAAGGTTATGAAGGACACCCCGCGTGTTACATGGGGACACGGGCTGTGTGACAAACCTTGACAAAACTTAGTTCGCACCAAATTGAAAATACCCGCCAACGAGGATCCAATAAGCAAGCTCTTGGCAGAGAGACAAATAGTACAAGTGCCCGCGTTATTTCACGCCTCTGAAACCGGGCCTGCCCGGAACGTAATAAAGGTTTTGTTTGTTGTTTTGTGTGGGTGCCTTCATCGAGTGTACACACAATTACACACGATTACACACACACACAAGCATTATCAGCGATATACGGCACGGACGATGAGGATTGTTCGCCATGAGCATCACCACCCTAACATATACGATTACCCGTTCGCCATGATTCTTAAGGCATTCGAGTTCGCGCGTCAGGGCTCCGGCCTAGCGGTGTGCGGATTTTGCTTTTGCGAACTGCTTCACTTCGTAAGCTTTGCACGCGGATCTTCGGCGGCCGTATTCGATCCCGCATCTGCAGTGCTAAGATACGCGCCGCTAGATACTGAATGGTGTTTTGTGTTTCGGTCTGGCGCAGCCGATGTGCAGGAGTACGACAAGACGCACGGCAACGTCTATGAACCTCAGCTGCATTTTCTCTCGTTTCATGGCATCGTAGCGGAGCAGAGGCTTGCCAGCGCAACTGCGCAGCCACTGCACAGCTGCTGCACATCCCTGTCGCCGACACCCTGAGGATCCGGCCGACACTGGCAAAGAGAAGAAGAACCCCGCCGCAGTGAGCAGCCCAGGTGTTCAGAGCATGCGGTACATGCACACACGGCTAACAATGCAGGCTTTGGAGGAGGCTTCTGGCGGACTGCCCATGGTCAGGCTCGCGCTTTCTCGGCTTGAGTGACTTGAGCTGCGCATCTGGAATCATCGGCGCTGTGCTCGGCAGAGTGCAGGCCTGGAGATGCTTCCATTGCGGCGCCATTCACCTCCAAGGCCCCTCCCAACACCAATGCACTCTGCATTGCTCGCACTTTGCTGCGTTCCGTTGCGTTGCGTGTGCTCCGTCAAAGGGGGGCAGCCGGGCTGCCTATGTTTTTCATTGTTCCTTCTCGGAGCAGGATCGGGGAGTGCATGTGGGAGCGCCTGGCCCCTCCCGTTTGCAACGTTTTTATTTGCAATCTTGTTGTAACACTTGCTGTTCTAGCAGCTGGAAAGGATTCAATCAACAAGCACCCGTCGAAAGCAGAAAACGCCTTGGGAAGACACCGACAACAAACTCACACACAAGAAAGACCCCGCAGAGAAAACGCAGTGATAGGCACACGAATCAGAAATCCAAGCCTGATGACGCAGCAATCAATGGGTACAGCAGTTCCATCGTCTTACAACTTATGACACTCCTCTCCCCATGCTCGTGGCTGCAGGCGCCTTCAGTGAAGAACTGTGTCGATCTGATTCGGCAAGGCCGGTGCACTTTGCTCTCGGTCAGAACCTCGGTGTGAGAATCGTTCTCATTGAGTAGCCTGTTCAGGGCGAGCCTTGTGAAGTCTTTTGAATGTCTGTCTGATGCTGCGGCTCAGGCGCTCCAGCAGCAGCAAATCATGATGCCCTGGCCTCGGAGACATTTGGTGGAGGATTCCTCCCGAGGTCACCACTGGGCAACTTCGAAACACGGTGACCACCACTGTCACAGCCGCTGCCATTGCCACTGCTGCTGCTCCTGCTTCAGCTGCGGAACTGCGACTTCTACTGCTACTCCTACTTCTACTTACTCGTCCTTACTACTCCAACTCCTCCTTATTCCTCCTATTCCTCCTTATTCCCTGCTGCTACATCTGTTGTTGCTGTTCGACTGTTTCGTGCAAGGCTCAATTGCATCATCAATGCCTACGTGCTTTCGGCGCTATCATTAGAAGGATCACGCACCTCGGAGAGGCCGGTTGACGTGGACAGGTCTTTCTTTCAAGCACACAGGTTGCTACTCAAGTCCACTTCACTGATAAAGTTGAAAGTTCGGCCGACCAAAGGACAAACAACTGAGATAATCTAGCACGCCGGAGCTGTAAAAACAACCGGCTATGTATGACTACATGTCGCAGTACTGAGTATAGTTCACGCCTCGCTTCTTTTCGGTCGCCTCGGGACAGCACGGGGCTTAATCTGTCGAAGCTTTGCCCAGCCTACTGGAATGCACCTTCTTCTGAGCATATAGTCTGCAGTCAGACAGGCATTTCTTGGGTTATAGTTTCCGCGGAACGGGAGGCAGTTGATGGCATCATCGTGGCTGCTGACAACAGCATCTCTTGCATTTACGTACGCCTCACCATGCCACTGAGTTGCAATGCAGTTAGGACGGGACGTGAAATGCTCTATGTGGTATACGTGGTATCCTTGTAGAAACAATGTGAGCCGGACCTTCGAATTCCGATTCCAAAATTACCAAGATTGGAAACAAAGTTTGAACCTCAGAAAACACGACCGACCGTATGCGTGACAAGGAGATGTTGCGTAGCAAAGCTCATCCCGAAACGGAGACCTCAAACCTAAACGGAAATCTAAAAGCCCGGAAATGTTGGTGGCAGGGCTTTAAGCGACCCAACGAGAGAGAGAGAGAGAGAGAGAGTAGCCATTTTGGCTCAAGCCACGAGTGCTCAAGCCCCGCCCCCGTCGTCCTGTGGGCTTAAACTAAAAAGAGGGGCAAGGCCATTCCCCCGCCGTCCTGCGGGCCTTGGCCACAAAGGGGGTTGCCATAGCCGCCCTCGCTTCCACACCTACATCTTTGAACTGCTACGCGACTTCCAGCTGGGGGCCCTGTACTCCATTGCCGGGGGGTTCGGTCCAGTACGGGAACCGCTGCTGGCCGTCCGGCACATCTACCTGAGGCGAGAGGGGGAGCTTGACAACAGCTACCCGACCGATATCGGCGGCCTACGCGACCTCGAGGGGGCATACCAGATTATCCGCTACCTCTAACCCGCCAGGGATTACCTCAACGTCGAGTCCGTGACTTGGCAGGGAGACCGAGAGTAAGATGTCCACGCTACTTCAGAGTGGAGGGGGGCCGGATGGCAGCCCAGGGGGGGGGAACGCCTCCAAGCGGAAAATGGACAAGGAGGGGCTCACACTCGAATCCATCCGTGGGGCCATCAAGGAGGAGCTGAGGTCGGAAAGACGAGAGCTGAAAATGGAGCTGCTGGGGGAGGTACGCGCCGAAGTCAGGGAGCAGTTGGGGGATACCAGCCAAATTCTCCACCAGCTCCAATCCCTGCACACCGCCCAGGCGCAAACCCTTCACAGAGTGGACCAGTTGCAACAACGACAACAAACTAACATGGATGCCATGGCGGAAGAACAACGCACCCTTCGTGAACGGCTGGCCCTTCTGGAGGGAAAGTTCGGGCAGCTCAACACTGGTACCTTGGCAGCCAGGGGGGAGTCATCCTCCTCGGAAGAAGATCGCAGACAACCAGCGCTAATCATAGGGGGGTGGGATGAAAACACCCCGGCAGCGGAGACTCTACACCATGCACATTCCATTGCAGCGCAACTCCGGCTAGACATTGATATGGAGGGGGCCTTTGTCCCGGGGATCAGGAGGGGGTGTGCCATCATCCTGCGAAAGCTCAAGCAGGACGAGACGGAGGGGGAGCAGAGACAGCGCATCCAGAACGCCCTCCAAAAGGTCAGGAACGCCAACGTTGTCCTTGGGAAAAAGCCGGACGGCGCGGGGCAACGCCTTTGGTTGGCTCTCTCACAAAGCCCACAACGTCGAGCAAAGGCAAAGCTGGCGGGCAAAGCAAAGAGGCTGGTGCTCGAGCAAGGGGGGGACGTCTCCAAGGTCGAGGCTGAGTTCAACGCAGGAACGGTGTGGTTCCATGGGACCAGAATTGCATCAGCCACCGCAGCTGCACCCCCAGACAGCGTGACGGCGGGGGCGGGATGGGTGGACATCATCGCAGTGGCCAGAATCCTCAGGCAAAGCGTGGAGGAGGTGAAAGCCACGTGGGAGCGTATCAAACAAAGTTTCACCGCCGCAGAGACCGCAAGCCGGGGAGAACGTACCGACTGGCAACTTGGAACGTGGGGGGGCTTAGACTCCCAGCAATTTGGGACCTCTGCGAAATACTTGCGGAGACCACCCCCCTTAGGGATGTGCATGTCCTCCTTCTCCAAGAGGTGATCTGCGATGCAGGACTTCAATTCGGTGACCGCCACAAATGGAAAGCCATCTACGGGAAAAAGACAGATGGGGGCTACAACGTCGACAACACCGATTACCAGAAAGCGTGGATTCAAGAAGAAGGCATACGCATGAGGGGGCTAGCAGTGACTAACTGATTCTCGCCCCAATGAGGGACAGGGAACATTTTGCTGGGGAGCAGAGGGGGGACCGTCACTAGCTGTTCTTAATCTCATCTGACCTGGCGTCGCCCCATCTTGTGACAGAAACCCCACCCCAGCCGGGCCGCAAAAGCGCGGCCGTCTCGCATGACACCTCCGACGTGCGCGCCCTCCGGGGCGGCTCTCCTTTCGGGGGGGGCCAAGCGTGTGGAGAGAGAGAGAGAGAGAGAGAGAGAGAGAGAGAGAGAGAGAGAGAGAGAGAGAGAGAGAGAGACCCGAGAGGAGAGAGAGAGAGAAGAGAGAGAGAGAGAGAGAGAGAGAGAGAGAGAGAGGGAGAGAGAGCGAGAGAGAGAGGGGAGAGAGAGAGAGAGAGAGGAGAGAGGAGAGAGAGAAGGGAGAGAGGAGGAGAGAGAGGAGAGAGAGAGAGAGAGAGATAGGAGCGGAGGTTATAAACAAAGGGGGTCCCCACCCACAGCCCAATTGCTGGGACATTTTCGTTTCGACCAACTGACTCGGTTGTGGCACGCCCGTTGGGGCGGTCTCCCCCTCGGGGGGCCAAGTGCAGCGAAGGAAGGAAAGGCGCATCCTTTCGGGGGCTTTTAATAAATTATAATCCGTGGGGAGAGACAGAGAGGTAGATAAGAGAGAGAGAGAGGAGAGAGAGAGAGAGAGGAGAGAGATAGAGAGAGAGAGAGAAGAAGAGGAGAGCAGAAAGAAAGAAGAAGACGCCAAGCGAGCAGAAGCAGAAGCAAAGCAAGAAGAGAAGAGAAGAATAAGAATAAAGACTTGAAGAGAAGAATACGAAGCAAAAGAATCATAATAAGAATTGAAAGGCAGAAAGTTATTAAAGATACAAAAGAGAGAATAAGAAGAGAGAGAATAGAGAGAGAGAGAGAGAGAGAAGAGAAGAGGAGAGGAGGGAGAGGAGAGAGATGGGGAAGAGAGAGAAGAGAGAGAGAGGAGAGAGAGCGAGAGAAGAGGTAGAGAGAGAGAGAGAGAGAGAGAGAGCGGAGAGAGGATGGAGAGGTAGGAGAGAGAGGAGAGAGAGGGGGGGGCAAAAGAGAGGAGGTGGGATGGGGGGGAGAGATGAAGAGAAGTCGGGAGGAGCTCCAGACCAGGTTTTCGTGGCGGGGCCCGACTTCTTCGTTAAGGAGGATAGAGGACGAGAGAGAGAAGGAAGAGAGAGAGAGATGAGAGAGAGAGAGAAAGTAAAAGAAACCCAAGAAAGAAGAAAGAAGAAAGAAAGGAAAGAAAAGAACAAGAACCACGAGAAGAACAAAGAAAAGAGAGGACAGAGAGAGAGAGAGGAGAGAAGTCCTCTTGAGTATCAGATACAAAGAAAGAAAGAAAGAAAGAAAGAAAGAAAGAAAGAAAGAAAGAAAGAAAGAAAGAAAGAAAGAAAGAAAGAAAGAAAGAGAGAGAGAGAGAGAGAGAGAGAGAGAGAAAAAAAAGCCGAGTCGCAACCACCGCAAGAGTGGGGGCACCAGGGGGGGGGGGGCACTGCTACAGCCAATGACAGACCCGAACCGAGCCACAACGAGAACATCGAGATGGAGCAGACCAACCTGGAGGGTGGGGGGAGCGACGAGAAAGCCGAGCCACCACCACAGCAAATAGGGGGCCGGAACTGAGACAACACTACAGCGAGGACATTGAGATGGAGCAGATCGACTTGGGGGGAACGACGAAGGCGACACCGAGCAGCTCGACTGCACAACCAGAACACCTGGGGGGGAACAAGACTACAACCTCGGCTACACCGACCTGGACATCACAGCGGGAGAAGCACAGGCGACCAACATGGTAACCTCAGGGGGGCCTACAAGTGGGGATGCGTGCGATGGATTTGACGTCGGAACCGCCTTTGGAGGGCCCCTTTACGACCCCGGCGGGAGACACCACCACGCCTGCCAGTCCGCAGCTGATGGAGTCTTCACATGGGGGCCAGAACAATAACAAGGGCGAGCCACCTGAGGGACCCTGCTAGCCTTTCGCCTTGCTAGTGTCAAGAGGGCAAGTGAAAACAACTTGTAACCCCGTGCGGTAAAAATAGCCCCAGACTTGTGGACAGAGCAGCGGGCCGTCGTGGCTGGTGTTTCCTTTCGGGGAGACATCTTCGCTGGGTAGAAGAAGAAGAAGAAGAAGAAGAAGAAGAAGAAGAAGAAGAAGAAGAAGAAGAAGAAGAGGAAGAGAGACAACATGGTGAAAGGGGGCACGAGCAGCAGCCAAACCTGTAAGCTGAGGCACCACTACGGAGGGATCAGATGGGGTGTAGAGGTTGAGGGCCTTGGGGGAGGGGAGGTTGTGTTCGGAAGGTTCCCAGAGTTGCGTGTTTGAAGGATCTTCGGGGGCTCAGGGACAGGGCTCGGGGGCAGGGGAGGTTGATTTCGGGATGGTTGAACAATGAGTTTAGAGGCCCGGGGGGCTGTGGGGAGGTTACAGGTAGTGGAGGGAAGGGACCCGGTACACACTGATGAATTAGAGGGGTCAGTAGGGGTGACTGGGAATGTGAGGATAGGGGGATGGACTCTGATAAGCTGATATGGGCGTGTAGGCCCCTAAAGGCTCGAGGTCTGGGGCTGCGGGCCACTAAAGGCTCCAGGTTTCGGGGGATGAGGCCCAGTTGGAGCCGCTAAGGGACTAAGGTGCGCTCTCAGCCCGAGGGGGGCCGATACCAGGCCTCCAACAGGTGGTGCTGCGGTAGCCAATACGGCTACCATGCGAGTGTTAGCAGAAGCTGAGACGAAGCCGGACTGGGGCGCGCATCCGCGCGGGGGGTCACCCCCATGCCCCAAAGAAAGACAGAAAGAGACAACATGAAGAAGAAGAGACATGTTGTCCAGAGCAGCCGCCACCCAACACGACAGCCACAGCATCCACACCTCCAGAACAACAACCGACTCTCAAGAGGATCGCAACCCACCGCATGGGACAGACCACACCCCCACCAATGGGAGGACTACTGGACCAACGTGCTCCAGACCCCCCACGAACCACCACACACCAACCACGGACCAAGCCGACGTGAAAGTCCACAAGATCCACTACTATCAACCACCAACTAACACAGGGGATCCAGCACAACAGCGATTGGTGGGAAAACTGGCAAGCCTGGTGGAGAGCACCCGCAACCCAAACAGACACACCCTCACAACAAGATCCCGCCACCACCGCCACCACCACCACCACGCCAGGAGTCCAGGCAAAGCAGAACGGGAAGCACAAGCCCGAGGCGAAAGGGCCTGTCTGGAGGCGATCTCGCTACTACAGGATAAAGTCGATGCTGGAATCCGCCGAGAACACATCGCGGGGAAGAGCAACCGGAAAAACACACCAGAAACACAACCGTGGCTGAAATTCACACCCGGACAACAACGACAACCTCCACACCTACAATTTCCACCCTCAATTGAGAGCAACCCACAAATCATAGCCTTAATTAACTCTTACCCTTCCTCGATGTTGCCTTCACTTCCGCCCATCCTTGTGCAACTGTTCACAGTCTGTCATGAAAGCCGTTGTTGCGCGAAGGGTGTCGGAACAAGTTCTGTGGCATTGGGGTGGCACTTCCCAAATGCATGCATGATCATACATGCAAGACATTTTTCTCTTGGGTGCAGTTGCGTGCAATAATTGGGGTTTTGTGCCGCTGAAAAGCTCTGTCTACATTCGAGATGGCATTTTTCAGCTCACGCCAAGGTGACCGCATGCATCCTGTCCGGCCCCTGCGATCTTTGTTTCATCCCGCCGTCTTCTTCTCCATGCTTGGACAGGTCGGTCGGCAGATTGTGTGTGTGTGTGTGTGTGTGTGTTGTCAGATGCGGTGAGGTTGTACACCCTTGAAACCATGGAGAGCTATAACATTTTGCAGCTGAGAGTCCGAGCATCCATATTGTGCGGGTGGTGTCCCCTCCCAGCAACAGTTCAAAGTCCTGTTTTGCATGTAACACCCGCCCAAACAAAACACCAGAGAATCCAAACGTTATAAGGCATCCTACCGAGTCGTTTGTTGTCAGTGGTCTTTTCCGCGGTAGTGCGATGACTACCCACGCTTGCGTGCCGATCGACCTGCAGGCGGCGATACATCTTTTCTGCATGGCAATGCTCTTAGCATCTCTTAGCCATGTATCACAACGTGTTTCTAGTGCACCAAAACAAGTCTTTTCACCACAGGTCGCCGCCGTAAAAATGGCGCGAGCAGCGATGGAAGAAGGCTCACCTGAGAGACAAGGAGGCCCAACGTCCAAAGTGAGCCTTTTTTTTTGCCGGTAATCTCAAGAAGCTGCTTGCAGCCTTTAGTCATGCCAGGTTGGTCGGGGCCGTCGCTGAAGGACATCTATCTTGATTGGAAGATCATGGGAATCATGGGTGGTTGTGGTGGCACTTTCATGTTCCTCCCAGATGGGGCGAGGATGTGTCCGCTTTCTGGAAGAGGGAGAGAGCCAGACGGCGCGGCTTGATTGAGCCGGACCGCTCGAGAATGAGGGTTTCTCTGCTTGTTTCCTGTGATTTTTGTAGGGAAGCCCTTTTGGGTCCTGCAGTGTGCCCTCCAGGAAGAAGAGGAGGACTGGACCACTTACGCGTTGAACATGTGGCAGCAGCCGTTTCTGCATTCTCCTCAGGGAGAGGGGGAGCGAACGAGAGAGGCAGACAGAGGGAGGGAGAGAGAGAGAGAGAGTGCGATAGTAGAGAAAAGACAGATGCGACATGTGAAACGCGGTCTCAACAGGCCGAACTTGATGAATACCGTTGTGTTTTTGGTCGAGACGGCTCGTGCCTTATGCTTGTGTTCTAGTTTGTGTGTTAGGCACTGTTTCAAACAGTTTCAGAGGTTAGGCAGTTTTCTCTGGACATTTTGCAGTTTTTTTGATGGGAAAGTCGGTGGTTAGGGAAGGCAGCCAGCTTGAGCAACGTCCGAGTGCTCGGGATAACATGGCATGACCAGCGAGCTGAACGACATCACCGGACAACAGCGTACACCAGCCAGTTCTGAAGTCCGGTTCGCCTGGGAGCCTCATGTAGCTTTCACATTCATAGCAGTTCTCTGGCAATGTTGGTGTGGCATGCTGCTGCTTTCACAACCTTCCACGAACTTGAGGCGCAAACCGTTGCCATCCTGTTTGTGAACTACAAGGCAAAGCCCTTTTCATGCATGTACTTGCCTTCGTGCCGAAGCCTAAAACCACTGCTTCCCTTGAGGGTCAGCCATGGATGAAGGGAGTTGTGGAGAATCGTGCCGCCACCTCAACTTCAAACGACAAAGTTCAGGTTGCATCCGTTGCATCCTGGCCTGGCAATGTCTGGCAATGTTAGGCTCTGTTTCTCTCGGTTGTGGTTGTTGCTGGAAGCGTGGCTGCGGCAGCGTTCGAGCCTCGGCATCCTCCGCACACTGAGACGTTAACATGCTGTTCGTGCGCTCTGCCATTCCCTTCCCGGACACCCACCCCGCATCACCCCGCAGCTTTACATAGCTATATAGTATTGTATAGTGCAGAAGAACCCGTTGGCGTGTTACTGACCTGGATGGCTTCTACGGTGCGTGGAGGCCACCTCGGCAATGTCACAGGAGCTGAAAATAGCCGAAAGCTGTGAAAACAGCGTTGTCTCCGTTCGGAATTGCTTAAAATTTTCATGCTTTCTGATTCTGGCACGCTACATGGGCATGTGTGGAGAGTCTGCGCATGGCGTGGCTGAGGTGGGAGTTCCAGCCGCAGCTCAACTCCTTGATTCACCTGTCACCGTTCCCGAATGTCGCTTGGCGAGAGAAGCTGACCTGGACTGAAGCCTACTCGCACCCACTTCTTGAAGCCACCTGCACGCTTCAGGACGAATTCCGCTGGCGGGTCATGGGTCTCGTTGGCATGACGCTGGTGGGCACCTTCATCTGGGACAGGTTCTGCGTATATCTTTTCGCAAAAGATATCTTCAAGGCAAGCTGCCTTTGTTATCTTTGTGCATCTCTTGAAGCTTGATTGAAGCTTGATTGAAGCTTGCTGGAAGCTGCTGGCTTGGTTGGAAGGCCATGGTCGACTCGGCCAAGAAGACGACCTTCAGAGCTGACATAGTACCCATCTTCGGCACGGTGTTGAAGGTCTGGGAGGGTGCATGAGGGATCACACAGAAATGGTAAAGGTCGACATACGCTTAATTACGCTTGGGTCCTTCTGTGGTGGTCTTCAATATTGACCTCTCGATCCGACTGACTCGTGTTTGTACTCAACAGCTCTCATGCTCATGTCCCCATCAAGAGCTCTTCGCTTGATGCTTTCATCATCGCAGAATGTGCCTCATGCGAGAGACCGTGGAAAGCTTTGCCAAGATTTGAAGGTGCTGGGCGTCTTCATTGTCCTCGGCACAGGCAACCTGCTAATGGCAGGTTTGGCCTTCTGGATGTGCCTCGCCGCATGTTTCCAACATCCTGCACGGATAGGCAAAGGTATTTAAAGGTATTTTTATTAAACTTGTGAGGTATCGGAGGCATTCGCAACAAGCTGATGAATGAGAGCTCGGTGCGGCGTTAAAGATGCGCAAAGGCAGGTGCAAGCTGGACCGAGCAGCTTACATGGTCAAGCATTTAAAACCCATGGTCAGCAATGTGAGTATCTTGTTATGGTCGGTCAGTGTCAGACACAGATGCGTAGGCCACAGCTTGATGAGTAACCTGCCGGGTTAATGCCCTCAGATGGTGGGTGATGAACACTACACATCACAGAAAGCACGCGTCGCCCACCATCTGGTCCACCCTGACCACCTCAGCGTCGGGATTAAAAGTGCTTGTTGCATTCTGCCAATGCTGTCTTGCAGCTCGGAGAAGCAGAGGTTCCAATGCCTCTCTATGCTACGCACGACACATGTTCTCAGAACAAGGGTTCATGGCCCCTCTGCCCATCAGAAATCTTGTGGCTTGGATCGAGCTTGAGCAAATACTTCAAGGTCGGCAACTTGCAATCCGCTCCGACCGTTCATGCGTATGCCTTGTATAGTATGACTCCGCTTGCATTTGCCCCTGCAGTCATAAACAGTTTACAGCCATCCGCCGAGATATCCAGAGCACAGTTGCAGAATGATACGGACGGTTCCGCATGCACCCCAGTGCGATGCTTCGCGCCCAGAAGAGCGAGGCGCGGGCTGAGTTGAGACCGCAAGGTGAGTCACAGCAAGTGGTCTCAGGAAGATGGCTTTGGAGAAGAGGCACCATTGGCATCATCGAATCAAACTCAGCCTCTCGATTCTCATGTCCCAAAATACAGCTGCACCTGCGGCACGTGTTGGCCCGAACTTGTTCAAGGTCTTTCGTCGACGACAAGGCGTGGACGTCGATTTTCGTGCTGAAATTTGCTGCAGCACCTGGAGATCTGAGACGACTCCTTATGTTTTTGATGACTCCGCTTGTTTAGTTGGCAAAATTTGTCCTCGGTGAGGCCCGTGTATCAAGGTCGCCGAGCAGACGCCACGACCTCATGCTTACCATAAGGTCATTGGTGTTCCATGTTATTCCGGTATTCCTAAAACCTCAGGACGCGACAGTGTCTCCAGCGCGACGTTGGGCTTCGATGATTTGAATGACTTCTGTGCACCAGCCTCTCTCCAGGCACGCGGCGCATTCAGATTATGCACAGCACAGCTTTGATGATGGGCAACTTCACATCGGCACGTGTAGTTGATCCGCATCTCATCATTCTCGGTGGAGGCGACTGAACAGACTCTTCGCACATTGCGAAGGCAACTGCTGGGTTGCTGATGATATCTGGGCAGCCAGCAGCATTGTGGTTGTGGCGAATGTGACTTCAGAGGGTCAGAGATACATGAAAGCACGAGCTTCTGGCAAAGTTCTGGCAATGGCCAGGTGCATTTTACGTTATGGCGCTACTTCAAGCGGTGTGGCACCTGGACTCGTATCATTGGAGAGAAAACTCTCGAAAGACTTGAAGTGCGAACATTATATGAAGGCCTTGGCTTGTGCAACTGGATGGTACCCTTTGGTAGCATGGCAGGACAGTCACTCGAATGAGTAAGGTGCCATCGACCCATATGTGCAGGAGTTGCTTGGACCGGCCAAGGCCAAGACGTCCTCCAATCCATTGCACGCTGCGAGTGTATATGCATTTTTTTGCGGTAGGCTAGAGCCGTGATGGCAGACGAGAGTCGTCTGAAGATGCTTGTGGAGTCAGCCGATGCAGATCTCAGGACGGGCTGCTAGTAATGACGAAGTGAGACTGGAAACAGCGCTACGCGACCCGCCTCGGCCTGGCCCAGCGCAGCTTGCTGAGCATGTGGAGTTCGCAACCACGGGACCTTGAAGCTCTGCATTGGGGGGGGGGGGTGGGGGGGGGGGGGGGGGGGGGTGGGGTGGGGAGGGGTGGGGGGGGGGGGGGGTGGGGGGGGGTGGGGGGGGGTGGGGGTGGGGGAGGGTGAGGGTGGGGGAGGGGTGGGGGGGTGGCTGGTCCTGACGGTCGGCTTCTGCTCACGTGTTGGCTATGGACCCATTTCAGCCAAAAAAGTGGTCACCAGGTGTTGGGGAGGGGATTAGAGGTGGGGTGCCTGCTTTGTGCTCCCCATACACCTACGGCCCAAGGCCTCGGCGGATGACGTAGTGAGACTGGAAATATAAAAAGAGTGGAATTGCTGAAGTTCACACATGCGTGTGTTTTGCTAGAATAAGGACTGACGAGGCGCGCTGCCATCAGCAGCAGTTCAGAGAGAGTGTCCATTCATGTCCATTTACACTTCCAATTCTCCAAGCTTCTTTTTAACGGAAGGTTGGACACAAAGCCAGGCAACGGATTTCTGGGTTGGCAATCTGAATTGGAGCCGGTACCACCATGTCTTGCAAGCTCAGGGGACTTTTCAGAAAAGTTCATGCTGCAATGAAGTTGAAGAAGCAGGAGGATGGGAAATTCTCAGAAGCGCGAGCTTTGTGAGATACATTGCAATGCACCGAACACATTGAGCCCATGTTTGAAGATCATTGAAATACCATGCAGAACATGAGAATTGTGGCAAGCATCGCGGAGGAAGCTCCTCAAGATGATGCGAGGCAATGCCAGCTCCTTGCTTGTCAGCTGGTTGAGATTGTTTCCTTCCTTGAGGGAGGTTGACGAGCTTGCCGAACACCCGCCAGATGATACGGTCAAGAGGTCCCGCTGGGAGCTTCAGACAGTGTTTGTGGCTTCTGGATGCTTCTGGCAAAGTATGCCATCTCGGCAAGCCAGTGTGCAGGACGAAGCGGAGCTCGCGTCGCGAGTCCCGCCGCCGCTCTTCACAAGAGGCGAAAGCTCTGAGCGATTGAATCCATACCCTCAGAATCAACCTAATAGGGTTGGATTGCAGGCTCTGATGCGTGCCAGGCGACGAAAGTGGCTGGAGCACCCAAAAGTCCGAAGAAAGCACGCCGTGTATCTGCTGCTGGGCAGGACTGGCTGCCTGGTCAGCAAAAAACATATGCGGGTGATGCGACACGCGCGGCATGGGTGGTTGATGTACATGGTTTCTTCCCGTGCATGCGACTCTCGAAAGTCCCACGAAGCCATAGAATTTTGTAAAACCCATAGCGTCTTGGAACCAAAAGGCAGCTGTGAAGCTGTGAGCTGCCTTGCTTGATGTGACCAGTTGTGACCTGCAACTAATGCTCGATGCAGGACAAAGTGGAGCTCCCACCGTTGTCTCCTTCCAAGAAGAAAGGCTGATGTCATCCAGCAAAGCTGAAAGAAGCACTCCGGAGGGAGTTGCAGAATATCCGTGAAGCAAAGTTTTAAGTTCTCCGGCTCCGGGGCTGGGTTTTCCCACCTGATGTCTTGATGCAGTCAAGGCGTCAGTTGTGTAGATTAGGCGACGCTGGCAAAGCCACGTCATTCAACTTCGAGAGGGGGCGTGCTCTATGGTGCTCGTCTTCATTGCCTGCTTGGGTGATGCACAGCCAATCTAGGCCAGAAGACGGGCTTCTCTGGGTGCAAAATGATTCTTGGCCGGTCACCTGACATTTGGATAGTCCTACCCTGACTCTCAGCACAGACAGGTAAACAAGCCCAGTTCAAGAGCAAACAGTGGCTCAAGGACTCGGAGGGCAAAGATAGCCGGTAGCGTCGAGCGAGATTGCCGAATGTATGGTTTGCATGCTTTTCATGCAACCTTCATTTTATTGAAGATACTGAAAGTTTTCATTTGCAAAGCGAACGCTTATAAAAATATGTCAGCGCGACGACATACCGAATGCCGCGGTATGCAGGAGTGACAAGCTTGACTCTGCGTGGACAATGGGGGATGCACTGGAAACCACATGTAACTGTGGTCAGGGTCTTCCCTACGCTTTCGGTGAGGCAAGAAACTAGTAACTCCCCAGAGCAGACGCAATTCCCTTGTCATGCCCACTCTTGCACGGAAAGGACCTGCTCAAGGAGACCAGGCACAGTCTCGTCTCGGGAGTCGCCCACAACATCCCACAGCCAGGTTTGTTGGTCCCATCATCTGCCCTCCGGACAGCACTTGGGCGGTGGGAAACTCTGTTTCGACAGAGGAGACGATGCTCATACTGTGCTGGGTTTATTTTGGAACATTGAAGTTTTTATGCTAAAAGGCTACCATTGTTAGTGCCTCTCGGCATTGCTCGCATCACCTGGCATGCTCAATCATTTCTAGGTTGAGAGGGAGGGTGGCGAATGGGTGGGGCCGGGTGTAAACATGTCCAACGTGCTTACGTGCAGGTTCATGTTCATATATGTTCATTTTGCTCATGCGAACGCAGTTGATACTCATGCTTTCACGGAATATGCAGGCCTGGCTTCAATTGAACAGCGAGTGCTTCAACCAAGTGCGTGTTTGTTGCAAATCCCCACAGCATGCAGTTCTGGTTACTTTCAAAGTTGCACCTTGTATTGAAGCTGTATTGGTTCATGGCTTGTAAATGCAGTGTAACGGCTTGTTGCCGAGTCGGCATGCACACACCCGGACGGCCACAAATAGGACAAAGCAAAATGAAAATAGCCGTGGGAAACAAATCTGGACGTGAACGTACAAGTGAACCAAGGCTGTTGTGTTTGCTGCTTGCAGAAGCAGCGGTGTGCAGCAACTGAGCAATGGGGTTTGAAAGTTGCATTGTGCGCGGCAGCGGTGATCAACATGGAGGACAGTCTGCGTCGCATACATGTGAACGTCAAGCAATGGTTGCATGCCACATTGTGACCAACCTTCTCAAGGATTTGGCGAGCGAGTTCCAACCGGACTTCTATGATGCAGTTAAGGCTTTGCTTGAAGTTACAAAGCTGTACATCGGCAGTGTCGGAAGTTCTGAAACGCGTGCATGTAGCAATGTAGCGCGGCTTCAACAATAAGATCCTTCTAGCTCCCTCTAGTCCAATACCCTACACAACCCCACACAGGCATGCATGCGGGTTAAGCATTGTGAAATGGAGGTATTGGAAGACTTCTCGTCTTCGGCATGGCACTTATCTTTAGATGGTGCACCAAGCTGGTTAGCGAACGCTTGCTGAGGACAATGTTCTCAAGGATGCCATGGCCAGTATCCGACAGCGCATCACAGCGAAGATGTGCGCACTGCTGGTTGATCGGTTGATGGAGCGGGTTGAGACACATGGTCAAAAAGCCTACGGGAGCCGCAGCCAAGCGTCATGTTTAGCTTGAGATGCTCAGCTCAATGCATGAAGTGGGAGAAACGATGTGAATTGAGCGCTTGATCTGCGAGGTATGTTTGCGCTCCAAATTTTTGGGGCGACCTTCGTGGCACGCTGAAGGCGTGTGACGGTCATACTGGCGTCATTCACTGTTTAAGTGCAGAATTACTTTGTGCCTTCTCTGCAAGGCGATCGAAGAGCAAAGGAATGAACGCACCTCAAAATCGAAAGCCCAGCAGGCTTTTGCACGGGAGAGCGATGCATAGCGCAAGTTGAGCTTGTGATGATAAATCCCTGCACTGCAGGTGCTTAAGCACGTTGCTCGATTGGAGGTGAAGTTTTGGGCAAAGGCCATGTATATTTTGATTTTCATTGAGGCCAGCCAAGCAAAAACTTTCTGCCAGCCCAGCGAAGGCAAGCGTTGCCATGCTCAAAGAGCTCGATCCAGAGTCCCGAATAGAAAGGATAGCCTGGATCCCCCAGACCTGCAGAAGTATCTTCTCGATTTTGAACAGCCGCGCGCCATGCATGGGCTGAGGTTGATTGGTTGCAAACCTTTGGTTTAGAAGAGGAGGTGCTGACACCCAGTGCTTTGCTATTTCTGTAGCAGCCCTGGGGCGGAGCTTGCTGCGCATGAGCCCCTTCCCGCAGCCTTCCAGTGCTTGCAGGAAGACACATCATCAGGGCCTGCGGTCTTGTACCAGGTGGGCCCATACAGCCATACAGTAGACATGGGCAACATTTCCTCGTCGCTTGTTGCCTTGTGTCAGGTCCTGAGTGATGTCACCCTGCAGAAGGCCATTTTCCAGCTATTGAGTGTGATACCAGCAGCTTGGCTTGGTACCCTGCCCTACCCATGCCGGCGTCTGCCAGGATTTTGGTATTCATCAGAGAGAGGCACTGTCCACTGCAGTCAAGGAGAACCTGCAGAAGTTCCCAGTGGAGATGCAGGTGTGTGGGTGATGGCACCAAAACACGATCTCGCCTGGAGACGACCTCTAGACCTTGGTCACAGGCTGTTTTGGAGCGCGTGGGAAGTGTCACCGGTGGGCGGGCTTTCGTGCCTGTGTCGGACTGGAGAAGGAGGCTGGCCCAAAGCAAGTTCGGTTCGGCTCGCATTGGTGTTTTTCGCCCGTTTTGCCGTTCTTTTCGTTTGCCGTTTTGACGGTTGACACTGCAGCAGGCATAATCAAACCACCCAGCTGGACTCACCAACTCTGGGCCCAGGAGCCACGTCGTTTGCTCAGGTGCCAACGTGCTTTGTTAATTTTCGTGCAAAGCTGCGCGGCGCCCCGAGGCTACTCTTTGGCATCGGGTCAGCCCCTCAGACATGTAGATCATGTAGCATTGCTACAAAGCTGTCAACGCAGCACTGTGGTACGCAGGCCTGAGCTGACAAACGATCAAGTGCAAGCCAGGCTCGTGCCGTTGGGAGTCGCGGACGCCGTAAAGAGAGGTTTCAAGCATCGCATGTGTTGACTGCATTTTTTTCCCAGTCACTCCGCCGTCGTGGAGCTTGCCGACGAGCCAGAATCGGCAGAGGTCCAGATTCCTGTGCAGGACTAGTATATACCTGGTTGCTGAGAACAAGTCATTTCAGCCTCAGCCGTGAAATTTCAGGATCTCACAGCAGAGCAGGAGCAGGACGAGGTAGGCCGTCGTCTGAGTGCTGCATTCAGGAAGCCTGATTTGCTCCCCAGGCTGCAAACTCCGAGATTCTCCAATCGCTTCAACGAGAACTGGCTGAACAGGAAAAGAAGGCTGGGACGCTGCCGGCCAAGCTAGTGAGAGATGCAAAGGCTCTTGTGCACAGGCTTGGCCGACAGGCTTGGGGTTTTGCCTGAGCATACACATTTCCTCGCCCTCGCGATGGCGTCCGAAGAAACACATGTAATCAGTAGTTTCACTTTGACGTGAACAGGATCTTGACGTCCGCTCTGTGGGATTGTCAGTCGTCAAAGTATTGTACCGTCGCATCGGTCGCTGGGTGCTGCAAATCCTGCCTAGTGTGCATCATTTGCATGTGCATAAAGTTCCTGCCAGGCTCACTATCTACAAAGACCCCCGACACAGACACTCAGGATCTCACTTGCAAGGAATCTTGAAGATGAAGTCAAAGGAGAACCGCTACAGAGCTACACAGCCATAACTGTAAAGGAACTAACTCAATCTCTTGAGCATTCTTCCAGTAAGGGAGCAGGTCATGCAGATGGAATGACATGTGGGCCCAAGGACCTCGGCTTTGAACACATTGTTCTTTCACGGAGTCGACAACGAAGCTGAATCCTGTGGCCGTCAGGCATCTGCAGAAGGGCCTCCTGCGATTTGCTCAGTGTGCTGGCAGACGATGGCAGACGGTTGCGCAACGTCACGTTATGCAAAGTTCTGTTGTGAAATGGTTCAAAGGAGTGACTTGGCTCATTCCTTCGTACTATCCTCATGCCTGGTGATCCGGGTCTAAGGCCGATGAGTCTGCTGTCATGCCGTATGTGACCTCTGCATGTTACATGTGATGCCACGTAGCTATGGAATCGCGTATATGGTGCGTGTATGGTTTTTGCAACATCGCAGCAACGGTGTTTGGTGCCAGTCTGCTGATCCGTTTGCTGACCTCCTTGCAACGATCATGCTCTGGCTGCAGCAGGCCTGACGGGCCTAACGAATGCCTGTATCATCATCATCAATATCATCAGTCATTTTAATTTTTGAATAAAAGTGTTCGACCTGCAACTCTACAAGTCTCTAGGAATGCTGAATCACAAAGGCTGGAGGTACCCTGGAGCGGGAAGCTGTGCTGCCCTTGATCAAGGCACATTTTGCCATTGTGCAAAGTGCAATTCGATAATTCGGAAGTCAAATCTTTGGCCGAGTTTGTCCCTCACTTTCAGAGGCCATGGGTTTCCGTGTCCGCGCAGTCATCCAGGGCTTGTCGTGCCAAACTCTGCAAAATCTTCACGAGCCGCTCTATCGCCTCATGGTGTGTTTGCCAAGGCAAGACGTCTTCTGGCCTGGCCCCCTGTTATTCCTTCTACACTGGTTCTTCCAAGAACCTGTGCACAGCAGATTGGTGAGCTTGAGCCAAGGTCACATCCAGAAGCGGAGTGTGAGATCCTGTTGCGCACTGCGGCACCATCCTGAAGTCGCAGGGCTTTGGAGAATAATGCTCTTTTTCGTACTGTACTTCAGAAAGTCGATGCTCGAACGAAGCGCGTTCGGTCCAACTGGGGTTTCGCAAGAATGTGTTTGGGATCATTCCCTACCCTCGGTTTGGGCTCGTTAGATGCTTAACAGCCATTCTCCTCGCCCGGGTCTCCGGAATTCCGCCAAGTATCCGGGGAGCGCCAAGCCCCAAACAACCCTGCAGAAAGTCTGCAGAGTATCTGCGGAGTGAGACAGAAATCCCAGCAGAGAATCCCGGAGTATCCCTGTGGAATGTCCACCCCCAGATATTTTAGCAGCCTACTTTGAAGAGTAATTATGAAGTGCAAGTCCTCAGCCGAAGTGCATCGGTATATATCGATATGCTTTGTTGAGACCCTGTCATCCTGATTCCGCAAACTAAGGCGGGAACCAGCCTGCACCCAAAACCCTTGCCTGCAAACTACCTGCATGATGCAGTGCCGTCCTCAGCTTATCCGTAGCCTTGTGGTGTGCACACCTGCACTGTGCAAAGAGAAGGTCAGACGAAATCTGGTGCTGCAAGCGCACGGCTTATTCCGTCATGTCGTTTCATTTCAATTCGCAATTCGCGCGTCAGCTCAGTGCTTCCGTCGCCCCCAGGTTCGTCAGATGGGCTCCAAAGCCAAGTACGACAAGCTTGCTGGTATGCTAGGCATGCACCCCTATGGGGGTTGGTCTCAGCTTGGTCTCAGGGCTTGCGAATTCATGTTGGACATTTGCGGCTTGAAAGTGATGCAGCTTGAAAGTGTTGGCATTGGCGAAAGTAGAACTAGGTTGTACGAAGGGTCCGTTTCAAAAGGAAACTTGATCAAGCCCCTTGTACAGACTCCCGCACTACACCGACGCTGACACTTGTAAATGTTCGGGACACTGGGCTTTGCTGGGTGGGAGCGACTACCTTCATTGTGTTGCAGGAGGTTTCGTTTGGCAGAGAGAATGTTCTGCTCACGACAGAAAGTGGCAGATCGATCGGGCTCCCCGCAAAGGTGTACAGCCACTGGCCACCCGAAAGCAATGTTTAATTGGCACGTCTGTCTTGCAGGGTGGAATGCCAAGTCCGAGCTCAGACGGACGTGCCCCCTCCCAAGTGCTGTCAAGCAACCATGTGCGAAGAAAGCGCCGCAGGTATGGTGCCCTTAGAATTGTCCTGGCTGGCCTGCCAGAGGTCAGCTGCAGGGGAGATGCAATCAGTTAAGGGTTTATTGAGGACGAATAGGACGAGTTGTTCAGTCGGTCATGTTCCTGATGCAGATCTTCTACGACTCTAAGAAGCTCTACCTGAAACAGGTGCTAGAGGGTGCAGCGCCCTTGGCAGTACAACGACATGACTTGGCTTTTGCGTAGGGCCCGTCTACTACCAGGTAGTGGACTGGCCGGTTGGCAAAGACGGTCGGATAGGACAGCAGCGCCAAGTTGAAACCACGGCGCTTCGATGCATGTTACCCTTTCTCGAGTTTTGCTATACAGGACCCAATACGGTCAAGGAAGCGGTGCAGCATTGGACCAGGGCATGCGATGACCTGAAGGGTGCTGGGACGAGGGTGCAATCGTGAATGCTCATTGGAGATTGGAGAGATGGCAGGTGCCGGAGACATTGACTGGTTCAACGCCAAGCGACAACTTCTTGGAGTTGCCAAACTGGCATGCGTTGAGAGACAGAAATCAACTGCTTAAGATGTCAAGGCAGATCAAATTCAACCTCGGGAATGTGATTTTGCTGAGGTGATGAACCAAGGAGGACACTGCGATGTGCAGGCAGAGTCGTCGCCTGGAACAGTGTGCTTTGCAGATGAACAGCGCCGCTGGGTATGTGGGTTGTGGGCACCTGATCAAGTTGTGAGGTAGCACGGTGGCTGCTGCAGCCAGCTGGTGACAAGGTAGCCCAAGTTGTTTACACAGCTTGATGGCTCCAGCAATTGGTCTGCTTGCTGCAAGGTCACCTTGGAGAAGGTCTTCGAACCTGGCTCCAAATACGATCTTACAAGTGCGCCAGGCTTAAACGCCTTATCCTCCCTTATCCAAGATGGCATCCCGAAAGTGCCAGTAAGACCGTAGAGACGTGTAGAGACATTCAAGACAGAGGCACATGGAATTCGCTGCCGAGAACATCGCCCATCATCCCCCCCAAATGCAAACAATGCACAAATGGAACATAACTTTGCGCTGCGAAACGCCGTCTGAGAGCTGCAACAGCCTGAGGCAAGAAGCAATCAATGTTCATCCATCGCAAATTCGAGCTCTGGTTTGCTTGCTGGTCATTTACTTTCAGAGGAGATAATTGGAGGTTCTGGAAATGCTGGCGCTGGATCAGTGAGAACAGTCAGCGCCACTACTGGTAGCATATTAACATGTCATTTGTACGTTAGGGACCTGTCTATGGTACAATTCAACAGGAGTGTCTGTTTTGTCTCTAGGCGCACACTGAAGAGTAATACACCGTTAGAACTAGAATCAGAACCTTGAGCAGCGGGCCCGCACAACCCCAGCCACAGCAGCACCCAGAAATTATCGGCGAGCAAAAGGGCGACCCGCACCCTGATATTGGCACGGAGAAGAACGAGGCAAAGCGCAATGGCTGCAGGGGGGTGTGCGAGCCAAGGCCGTGCCGAATGCCACAACAGGCAGAGGAGGGCACACAGCCAGCGGGGGAAGGAGGATGCATAGACGGAGAATGGTGTGAGTGGCGGCATCCAAAAGTCCTGTGGCCAGTGTGGTGGTTAAGGAGGCCAGTGATTCGTCTCTTGAAAAAGCATTGGCTGGGAGGGGTGCAAGTGCTGAGGTACGGATGGTGGCTGGGGCTTGAGGTTTGTGTATCGGAAAGGGCGTGCGCGCAGCACAAGGAAAGGACAGCATTTTCATAAGCAGGCTCTTGGAGCACCTCGTGCTGAGCTGCATTCCCATCTAGGTCCCGACTTGGAGGAAAAGCCAGAGAATCAGCCAATCTGAGAATCAGCCAATCTGATACAATCTGCAAGAAGAGCAAGTGAGGGATAGACATCGAAGCAACAGAATGCGGGTGACGAGGAGCTTGTCCATCTGGTTCCACCTCCCAGCACAGATGCTGTCATATCTGTCATCCTGGACCTCAAACCCGATCCCAGCGCGATGCAGAAACTGGACGCGATTCAGGAAACCAGGATTCAAGAAACTAGCCCCGCGATTCAGGAAACCAGGATTCAGGAAACTGCGCGATTCAGGAAACCACCCGATTTTGGAACTGAAAACCTGCGATTCAGGAAGCTGCGATTCAGGAAACTGAAAACAAGCGATTCAGCAAACTCAGGGGGGGGGGTCGGGGGGGGTTGGGGGTGGGGGGGTGGGGGTGGGGGGGGGTGGGGGTGGGGGAATGATGACGTTCATGTCCGCGCACTCCAGTTTCCTGAATCAGCTGGTTTGCCGAATCCTGGTTTCCCGAATCAGTTTCCGAATCCGCGCTTTGCAGTTCCCCGAATCCCCGGTTTCCGAATCCGCGTTTTCCAGCTTCCTGAATAAGCCGGTTTCCCGAATCCTGGTTTCCCGAATCAGCGCTTTATTTTCCCGAATCATTTTTTTTCTTTTTTAAGTTGCCGTTTTTCCAGTTTCCGAATCCGCGCGTTTCCAGTTTCCGAATCCGCTGCTGACCCCTCAAACCCTATAATCTATTGCCTGGTAGCCATCAGCCTCCCGTCTCGCCTGTTTCAGGTGCTTTTCTGGGAGCCGCGACGTGTTTTCAGACGCCGCCAGCCGATGACAGCACCGGAAACTTGCAAGGCTTCTTTTGACTGCAGGCATAAACAGTTTTGTGTGCCATGTGGCTTATTGTCTTGCTCTGTTCACAAGGCTTCTCCGGACCTTTGCCACGCTATTAGCCAGGTACGTCTGCCACCCTAGAGGTCGTTGTGCGGAACTTGTAGAGAGCTTGTGAACAGAGGCAGTGGACACTGCCGGAACGGCCACAATCGATGAGCTCCAGGCTCTCTGCCATGTTGGCATTGACCAAGAATGTGCTTCAGACTGTCAGGGTTCGAAGTCAAAGATTTCTAGACAAGCGTTGACAAGCGTGGTCAGGCAGCTGCCGAATCCCTGCCCAGCAAGGCACGGAATCAAAGAAATCAAAGAATCATGCGGCAAAGCTTCCAAACGCACAGTATTTCTTTGAAGAAAGCGAGGGCATGACATCTCCTGCGGCTCAAGATGTGCAAGCATGACCCAAGTTAGAGGCAGCAAAATCGGCTTGATCGGAGATGATCGGAGTACAGTCGAGCACATCGTACTTGGCACGCTGAGTAAGCACCGTCAGGAGCCACTCGCATTTGGGAGCGGCTTTGACTAGTGATAGCTATGCTGTCGACTGGCCGAGCATGTGTTCCATTCGCGATGCGAAGGAGGATGGAAGACCGTTTCTCACTTTGTGGTGAAATTAGTAGCCATGTGCCCACTAGAGCATCCCACCAGGAGACCCATGAGAATGTCGTGGGGGTTCTCAACAGGCTCCATGACGTGCGTTTGTTGCGGAGGGTGCTGATGGCCAATAACATTGATGGGTCTTTCAGTCCGTGAGGTAATCTTCCCGGGGAAGCACTTTCCCCTGGTGCCTGGATCTCGTCCTTGCTTTATTGATTGCTTGCTTTGTCGGTGACATCTTCAGCCTCCCAGCTTGTGCCAAGGTGCCAGGTGGGGCTTCAAAACTCAGCGACATAGCAAAGGCCAGCAACTGGTGAAGATACTTTCGGTGACGGTGGAATGCATTGTGCAAGGTGCCTTTGCTGATGAAAGAGTCTCCAGTCAAAGTTCGCGAGATCTGGTTGGAGAGGTGCAGCGACTGCAGTTGCCTTCTGTGAGCATCCATGAGCTACAGTACTTAAAGTTATATATCTTTGTCGAGGTTTCGAGAGAATCCTACTACAATTGCTGGCGCTCGCTTCTTAAAGCCTACTGAAGTTACTGAAGAGTCAGTCTGCCCACATTGTTTTGAGACTCAGCCGACCTTGCTGAGGCTCTGACAGACAAGGACTACAGATCGCTTCCCTGTCGTGGTTCCCAGTTGTCCAAGTACAAACCTCTGAAGCGGCAAGCCAGGCTTCAAGCCAATGCCGAGGCCGCGGTCAGTCTAGGAGTCTAGGCTGCTGCAGTGTGAGGAGTGGAATGGTTGGTGCCCTGCAGGCCTGCCCAATGTTCATTCTTCCAGTGCCTCGTGGAGAGGGCTACATGAACATGGTTTGGCAGGCCTTGCGCAGATTTGCTTTGCTGTCGGATGTATGATTGCATGTGTCAACGACATCGAATGAAGTGAGCCAACTTTTTTCAACAAAGGAGCGGGTCTAACATGTCTAACAGGCCCCATTTGGTCGCGACAAGGGAAGGTGTGCAGATTACGCAGGGCGTCGGGATCCTCCACAGGGATCAAAAGGGCTCAAACCATGCATGCCAGTGTATGCTGTTGTTTTTTATCCATCGGAATGCCCGCAACCGAGTAATTGCATGTATCGAGTTGAACTCATGAATTAGCATCCGCTTAACCTTGATCCTTAAAACCCCGACCTGACCCCTGGCCTCTACTGTACCTCTGATCTAAAGCCAACCTAGATACACCCTTCGCACTTAGCACTCCCCTCCTCCAAGCCCTCCGAGGCCCTCGAAAAAAGTCATCTCGCCAAATGAGAAATGCACCCAACAATTCTCTAGTTTGTGTCATTGTCTGTGTCTATCTCTCTCTCTCTCTTGTGTGTGTGTGTGTGCGTGTATTTGCATTTTCTGCAGCCTTCAACACCCATCACTCCGCTCACGAAAGAATGCATAAAGAAGAACATAAGCACGAACGAAGCAGAAACCACTCTTCATTGGAAAGAAGCGGCTTTCATTGGAGAACCTGTAATCTCAACTTGCACTAGAACCCATTGGAAGCAGCACAAAACTCATTTTATTGTCCAGCTCTTTCTCAGAGATTCAGCGTTTCCCCCCGGCCGTTTCTGTGAAGAAATCGGCGGAACAGCTGTGAGATGTCCATTATTCTATTATCATGCAGGTGCAGGATCAGCGAGTTCTTTTCAAGACACTGGAAGGCTTCCAGCTGATGCCTCACCAGCTGGCAGCGATTGGCAGCGTTGCCTCCATGCGTTTTTGCTTTCTGCTTCCCAGGCAAGGCTCTCCCGTCATTGACCTTGGGCTCACATTCTTCACCGAGTTGATTGTGCTTGCACACTGAGATTGTCATGTGATGCATGCTCACAGTATTAGAAATCGAGTGGCCCAAGTTCATCCAAGTTCCCACCAGCTGGCTTTGATCCATGGTGAGATCAAATCCAACCTCCTCACAAAGGCGAGATCCGCGTGTGTGCTGCTAGCTGCTCGGGGCGGTTGTTTGACCGGCGGGATATGGCTGGATGTCTGCGTGGGAAGTAGAGACTGTCAACGTGGTCATTGAACGATAGTTCGGCTCCTTGTGATGGCATCTGGTGTAGAGTGGCCACAGCCTGGAAAACTTGGCAATTTCGCATGCTCAGCAAGGGTGCACAAAATCCGCCTAACTCTTGTAGCTGTCAATGTTGAACATCCGTCTCTGGGAGTCTTTATGTCAAGGCAACTTAGCCATCAGCATCGTGTTGAATTCTGTAGCATTGGGACCTGTAGCATTAGGACTCAGGAGCCGAGCTGCCCGATTGCTTTCCTTGGGGGCATGTCCATGTTCAGCCATGAACTAAGCCGAGCGGATCATCCCACATGCAACTGAAGCAGGATGAAGCCTCCCGGATGGTACGCTTTCTGCGGGAGGTAGGAACTGCTTGGATTCTTTGTTCCATGATTCCATGGCTGCTGTTGTTTGCATGAGGCGTATGCCGATCCCACGCTGTTTGGGTGGGTGAAACGCAAGAGACTTTGCCAACATGGGAACCAGGCAATCCTGACAGGCTGACTCCCAGGCTGACTCCCAGGCTGACTAGCTTGTTCAGCTTGTTCTGAGGTTTCAACATGTCGCCGCGGGAGTTCCAGTGGCAAGACTTCTTGTCTCAAGCCCGTCCTTTGGAGTCTTTGACTTGGACGGACCGCATGAATGTGTGACATTGAAGCTAAGAAAGTCTTCAGATGCAGTTGAGATCAGTTGAGTCTTTTGTAGATCACTGGCATCAGCCTGCGTCAACCATGAAGAAGCAGCACCGTCAGTCAGCTTGCTGGACATGGCACTTTTTGGTCTCGTATTTCTTGTCGTGCACCTAGGCGATGGCAGTCGATTCCCACATTCAGTCCAGCGTGAGTTGGTGCCTGATAGGTTTGCGCTTTGTGGCGGCCAAAATGACAGACGACTACATGACATTACATGACATTCTTGCAGGAGGGCTTCGGTTGAAGCATGTTGAATCGCATTGCTAACTGGGATGCAAATCAAGCAGGCATGAAACGAACTGAAATTGGTCAGAAGTGCGATGTGTATCCAACTACGTGCGATCATGCAATCCGTTTGCTGTCGAAGTTGGCTTTGTACCTCGTAGGTGCACAACTGCTGCTGTGCCGACTGGCCACTGACAATTCCATAGCTTCCACTAGCTGATAAATTGGCTACTGCTACGTCTCTGGGTGCTAGTTCATGCTAGTTTACACTGGTGCGAAGTCATGCTCTGAGATTCTGCTCGCAGCCAGACTCGGTGCTAGCATCTTCTATATGGCCCTGTCTGTGTTTGCGTACTGTCATTGTGCTGTGACAGGTGGGTGAGGATGCCATAGTGGCCGCATTGCCTGTCTGGCCAGTGCTGGGCAAAGCATCCGCTACTTCAGAGTTTTATGTGGCCAGGCAAGAGATCCCAGAGGTGTTCTTCATGCCAGACACTGTCTTCTTGAGCTCCCTGCTTAGACCATGCAGCTCTTCGCGTGCTGAAAATGTCTGTTGATCCCCAGGACATGTCGCTGCCGGCATCATCCTGGAGTCCTGCCGGCCAGAGGACCCATCCAGCATTTCTCCTGAGAGTGCTGTGCCTTGTCATGCCTTGTCCACGCCAGAGGAGGTTGGTCGAGAAGGCATTGACGAAGATGAGGAGATGATGAGGGAGGGCTTGGCTGAGGCCATGGCCATGTGTAAGTTGTGCAGCTTTTCAGGTCCCGGGTCTGTTTTGGCACGCTGCTCTAGGTTGCGGCCGCAGCCGCTGCCATCAAGGAGCCCGAGGAAGACCCTCTACAGATCAAGGCACGTTGTAGCCTTTCGAAGCTCTCAGCAATACGTCGTACCTAGCCAAATCTGACTGCAAGGCTCCAAACAGAAATGCTGGTGCAGCTGTCAGTAAGGTCACAGAGCGCTATGGTGACTATGATGAGAGCTGTGGAGCGCCTGCCTTCGGGAGGTGCAGAATGCTGGGATGGATTTGGGCTTCTTCAACTTCACAGGTTTCCAAACGAAGAAGGCTTGGAACGATACCATACGCTACGACACATTCGGTATGATCCTGCTGTTTTACTGTACCGCCTTGTTTGGTTCCTTGGAGAATGCATGCAAGGCCGAGCCAGACTCTGCACCACCAGCAGCAAAGAAGCCCAGAATAGCTAGTTTCTCAGGGAGAGGAATGTGGGGGCGCTGAAAGCAGACCTTCTTGGAACTTGCATAGGTGCCCGCATGGCTCACAGAAGGTGCTGCCGTCCAAGTTCGCGGTGTCTGCAGCCCAGACAAGATCTCAAGAACTGGCTAAAGCAATGACATCCACGTGTTGAGGAGGCCCACGCCGAGGGCACGATCCTCGAGGTCAAAGGCAAAGGCCTCAATCTGCGTGATGCAAAGCAACGGCGCGGATGGCTTCTTGTGGCTTAGCAGTTGCATCAGTATTTGCTTTCGGATACCGAGGCGACATCTGCAGGGTGCGCATACTTCGGTCAGAAGGACACTTGCAGTTACAAGAAGTCCAGCCATTTGCGTGCATGAGAGCGTGGCAGAGATACTTGCGAATCTTGCAGCTGCGGCGGTTTCGTGCATGTATTGAAGGAGGTGATGCAAGAGAAGTGGAGGAGGTGCTGCCGTTGCCTGCGCGACCACCCAGTTGTTGCCTTCGTCGAGTGACCAGTAAAGAGCCGGCACAAATGCAAGCCGAGGCAATGATCCCGGTTGCGCCGGACATCGGGAGAAGTGTCAAGGCTGTCCCACGCGCAAAAGCTTGCAAGGCTACCAACAATGCTTCAGCAAGAGACAGGTGGTTGCGGGAGACCGGACAGGTGTCATAGGCAACGTCCTTCTCTTGCAACAGACAGTTCTGTTAATTGCATGTCTCGCATCATGCCAGCAAACTGTTTTTTCAGGCAAGCTTGTGGGTCTGGCTGGTGCAGAAGCTGTTGTACAGATTGGCGGGTGAGGGGCTGTGTCCTGCCATTTTTCTCAGCATGCTTGTTCAAATCCGAAATGCTGTCAGGATGTGCTATGAGACCTTGCCGATGACACAGCTGTGAGCCTAGTGAGATTCTCTCACATCGACAGTGGCAAAGCTCGATAACAGCCGACAGCCGAGGATTGCAGTGGTTTCTATCTGAGCATCTTCAGGAGGGTCTCACCTGGCGCGTTGATAGCGCTGTCAGACGTGCCAAAGTGTTGGTTGCCTGTGCTAGCTCCGGCCGCACAGCTTGCACGTCCATGACCCCGTGACGCCCGTGAGGCAGTCGATGAAGTTCAGACAAAACAGCATGATTCAGGGGCTCGCAAAACTTTCTTTCCATACAGGGCCAAACAGTAGATGCAACACGCAGCCCAGCTGGAAAGCCTTGCCGCAGTACTCGGATACGAATCACCACCGAAAGGGGTAGGGGCAAGAAAGGTGGGGCCCAGTTTGTTGGGGTGGTTTTGGATGTAGTCAAGGGTTTTGGGGTGATTTTTTTCGGGTTAAGGGATAGAAGACCAAGAAGAATAACCAATAGAAAGCAAGTACAACCAACAGAAACAACAAGAGAAAGCCAATGCCGACCAACATTAATGAAGGTATCTCGTGTTTTCTGGCTTTCCCGAGGATCTAGTTCAAAGGGTTTGTTTGTTTAATCTTAATGCTACGCGACCCGCCTCGGCCTGGGGGCGGGGTGGGGGAAGGTGGGGGGGGGTGGGGGTGGGTGGTGGTTTTGGTGTCAGATTCTGTAGCAGGAGCCCAACTGCCCCCTGGTCCGGGCAAACCGTCTCGAAAATGTAAACCTGGCCACGGCTCAGACTCTGAACATTTCTTTGACATACTCGTCCAGGTCACAACTTCCCTGTCTATTTAAGCACTGACCCAGCACAGGGTCACACACATCCAGACTTGCACACAGCTCAAGCATGGCATGCTAACTTGTTGTCTTCTTGGTGCGCGTGCATGTGGCGCGCGATTTGCAAGCGTCGGCTGCGAGATGCTGCGAGAGCGTGGTGTGCGAGAGTGGGGTGTGAGTGAAGCTTACGTTGGTTGAGCGTAGGGGCCAGTATCGCATGGTCGAAACGAGCGACAAAATTCGGCACTGAGAATCGGAGCATCTGAATGATGCCTCAGTGTGAGACCAAGCGTCTTCCACGGGGCTGTGGTTGCACGCAGGGTTTTTGTGCGAGAAGAATCACGAAGTGAGTGCAGAGAAATGGACTTGAGGAAAACGACAATTCAGAATGCTTTTTTGCAGTTTAAGTTTAGGGTTTCGGGATTAGGGTTTGTAGAACAGCCGGAATCAAGCACCAAGGCTTTCGATTTTGACCCGCACCAAAGTACTTTGCGTTTCCCTTCTGGGCCGAAAGCGACTGGATGCTTTGTGAATGTGGCGTCGCACTGGGCATGCTTGCTTGAAGCTGCGCACTGCTACAGTCCTGACACGCTTCGCTGGGACAAGTTCTTTGATTCATCACGGGAGTTCAACGACACATTGAGCCGGTGCACGGTCTCCCTATTGCTACTCGCTTAAAACAAACAGGCGCTACAAGCCTCTGGACAATGCGATCTGCACGTTCAGAATCACCAGCATGTCTCGAAAAACGATTTCCATAAGATGGACAGCATGCGGTTGCGGAGAAACAAGTCTTCGTGGATAGAATGTTCGCATCCACTTCCCTTGACCCGACGATGCTCGCAGAGTCTTCGAACAGCGTCGAGGTCTTCGACATCACCAATGAAGATAAACGTTCCGGAACATCTTCGTTTAGGGGTATGGAAACTGTATGGGGTTTGTGTCCGCAGTCTTGGGGGGTGTTGCCGTTTTGCCCCATCCCAAAGAAAAATATGTTGGAGATTTTTTGGGGTCCAGGATGTAGCGGACGTTGGCTGATGTTGACACTGTCCCACAAACAAACCGCGATCACCACCATCGTTTCGACCGTGCAGGAATCATGGTCGGGGTTGCCTGTGTCACATGTGCTGCTGATGCCAGCAAATGTCAGGAACATATTGCCTTGGGTTGAGAGATCCGTGGCTGAAAGCGGCGATGTTTTGCACAGTCTCGGTCTGCAGGAGCTGCCCAGCTGCCCCGCAAGTGTTTCAGAGCCTGTCAAAAGATCGATCCCCGCAAGCGGCGTCCCACCTTTGACAAGAAGAACCAGTAAATCCTGGATTCGTCGAATTCGAATCTGGTTCAGTCACCTAAAATGTCGTGGCTCGGTACAGGCCATGAATGATTACTTTAGTCTTGTTCTATCTCGACAAGAAGACCAGCGATGCTCCACCAAACTATGGATGTGTCAGCGTGGTGAGTCAGCGGTATGCGGAGCTGACACAAGCAATGGTCAGTTGCAGCAACCCAAGTGCAGGACCAAAGCGCAAAAAATTGCATATCCCAACTTCCACTGCTCCACAGCGGAAGTTCAGCTTTGTACAGTGCAACAGATGAGCCGCCTGCACAGGGGTACTCAATGTTTAACTGAGCCCCAAACATGTAGCAGCAAGTGTTTGGGTTAGTGTTGAAGGATTGTCTTTCAGCTGCTGGGTGGACGTCCAAGCTCGCGGGCGTTGCTTGACTGGCGCGCAAAGACTTAGAATGACCCGGAGGGTAAACAATGAGAGAAAGCTTTGCATGAGCACGCGCGCACCATGAGGGAATGGCGTCTTTGTTGTTTTTGCATGTTCCTGCCTTCTTTTGCTCAGATGCGATGCTGCATCTGAGCACTTCTACAGTTTCCACTACGATTGCCCGAAGTTGTTGAGCAAATTAATTGGCCATCGACGGACCTTGCACATGAGTACGGATTCTAGGCTTCAGAATGCGGCTCAAGCATCCAGCAAACCTTGCTGTCCCTACTTACCATTGCACCGATGTCAGTCAAGGGGCGGCTGGGCCGAATTAACTCCCAGAGCCTGGAATCACGAATGCAAGCCCTGCCCGAAGAGTGCTCTACTTGAGGCCCCAACATGGCTCCCATCGCAGCTTTGCTTTAACAGTGACGTGGCACTGGATTGTGCCGATTGCAAGCAGAGCACGACAATGACAGACCCCACAAGACTCCACGAGGCTCCACAAGACTCTAGGCTTCCAGGCGATTGGGTTTCAGCTTCATGCACCGTGCCCAAGCAAGTCTCTTCAAGGGTGGTATATGCAAGGCAGCCAGATTCTTGTTTCGATTCGGATACCTGCAGGAGCAGCAAGTACTCGTAGCTTCTGGTAAAGGGCAACGGGGAAAGGTTTGCCCTCTCTGTGCGGCACAGCGCGTCCTGCTACCTGCTACCTTTTGAGCCAGTTGTAGACGATCTTCGTCTGAGTTCCGTTTTTGTTTGAGGGGATTGCAAGGTTTGGATTCGGCGCATCACTCCGATCAAGCCTCAAAGTCAAGAAGCTGGCACAACTCGAAGCGGAATCAAGATGCAGAGTTTGTAGCATCTTCCCCTTTGCTTTCATCATTTCCTGGATCTAGACAGGCTCTAGAATAGGCTTTGCGGATGCTTTGCAGGCTTTCGGCTGCGTGTGCCAGATTCAATACAAGCTCCGCATTAGCGCGGGCATTGTCCCTTAGGCCACCTGCAGCAGTTCCTGCCAACTTGGATTCGCCGGGGGTGGGAGTCTGTCGTCGGGGATTTCCAGCCATTGTGGGTTGGCAGCCCCTCACCATGGGCCACCCGAACTCCCAGGTTCGAGCTCAACATGTTTGAGATGGAGGTTCGCTGCCATTTAGCTTTGATTGTGCAGTAGCCGGAAAAATATTGAGAACACCATTCAATAGTAGCAACTAAACTTGAACTGCAGATGCACGACCTGAACATCCAGTTCTACACCAAGATCCGGCGGGCTGCCGAGATGCCACAAGTTGGTGGTGGAATGTTGTGTTCTCCAGCTTTCAACAGTTTTCGTCCAGAGGGTGTAGAGTCCCAAGCCTAGCCGTCAATTGCGCGTAGCTCTGTAACCCGGGCTTGCCATGTTCGCCTTGATCGCCATGATGTGTGTGACGCATGTTGGGTCCCAATGGGTGGACGCCCGCGGCCTCTTCACAGGAAGTGGATGGTTTCAAACAAGTGCAGTGTCATATGGTGGCTGGAAAATTGTGGTCGCAAGACACGGCGAGAGACCGTGGATCAGCTTCGATGGTGGGTCATCTTTTGCTGCAAGCACCGCTGATGCTGTATCATGGAACAGCTTTAGCATGTCATGGGATGGGACCACGATTGTCGGGGGAGCCGGTGGGGATTACATCCATATCAGCCGTGACAGTGGATCAAACTGGAGCGTGGTTGACCCCGCCGGAGGTCCTATGGGCTGGACAAGTGTCAGCTGCTCCGAAGATTGTTCGGTCATCGCTGCAGTCGCAGGAGGTGGCAACATTTGGACGAGCACTGACGCAGGGACAACTTGGACCGAAGACTCAAGCGTTGGCAGCTCCAAGGACTGGCAATCCATCGCCGTCTCTGGAGACGCTTCGAAGATTGTGGCCGTTGCGTTGAATGCCAACATATGGCTCAGCACCGATCGTGGTGCGACCTTCGTGGAGCAAGCCGTCGGCACAAACGAGGAATGGACCGATGTGGCCGTATCAGCAGACGGAAGCAAGATGAGCGCATCTGTTCGCAACGGCGGCAAGCTTTGGAGGAGCACCGACAGCGGCACTAGCTGGTCCCAGTTGTCTGTGAATGCGTCCGATCTCACATCCTTTCTTCGTGTGGACATGTCAAATTCTGGAAGCGTGATGGTTGCCATGCACGTGCCTCCTACCAATAGTTATCTGTTGGCGGTCTGGAAGAGCACTGATGGCGGCGACACCTGGTCGGAGGAAACAGGTTTCTCACAGTTTGGTTTCTCGCACGATATGGACCAAATTGCCATGGCAGGTGATGGCTCCAAGATTGTTACGTTGGGGGGTGGGGGTGCGGTGGCGGTTTGGACCGGGCCTGCAGCCGAGACCTCCACGACAATTACATTGTCGACAACCTTGTCGTCAACAACCTCGTCGTCAACAACCTCGTCGTCAACAGCCTCGTCGTCGACAACTTCCTCATCAACAGCTTCCTCATCGTCGTCAACAACGTTCTCGACGACCAGCTCCACAAAAACGGCTACAGCTACCACAGCGACCTCCACAACCTCGTTGACGGTCACAGAGACCACGCAGACAGTTACAGAGACCACGCAGACGGTCACAGAGACCACGCAGACGGTCACAGAGACCACGCAGACGGTCACAGAGACCACGCAGACAGTTACACAGACCACGCAGACGGTCACAGAGACCACGCAGACAGTTACAGAGACCACGCAGACGGTCACAGAGACCACGCAGACGGTCACGGAGACCACGCAGACGGTCACGGAGACCACGCAGACGGTCACAGAGACCACGCAGACGGTCACAGAGACCGTGACCGAAACGACAGCAGCGTCGCTTTGCTGCACTGCAAGTGATCTGTACCACACTAGAGTAAGTGCATCAAAGTGCACACCTTGCCAATTGGACACCTTTCTTGATTCAGGCTGGACAAAGCTAGCAACGGCCTGGGTCTGAGCACAAACTGTTTCTCGAACATCCGACAGTAGGTTGTCTTGTTTTGGTGAATTAAAGAACCGCACAAGAGTTGAAAATGGGCTGCCTTGATATCCCAGGTATGGTGGCACCTTTGCACTGTTGGTGCTGCTCGGTCAACAGACAGGGTGAAGTGTGCCAGACACACAGCCTCCTCCCAAGACACCCTCAGGTTTGAAGTGTTCTGTAAATAGCCTTAGGCGTTCAGAAGATAAAGAGCAAATGGTAGTGGACAAACAATAATAGGCATGGTTGATACTGGGATGCCTTAAGGCTTGCGCTGAGGCCCATGGAGTTGTATGGAGGAGCTTTGTGTTGTCTTCTGGGAGACTTCCCGTCCGTGAAAGGAGTGGTAAGCCCCTCTCCACAACACAATCTTCTTTCTGCCGAAAGGCTCGAACTGGGGGCTTTTCGTTTCTCCTTCGAGAAAGCCACATTTGCGTGAGAAACGTACGACACTCCCAGATCCTGTCAGCATCATCACCTCTTGGATTGCTGCTCACAGCGTTAAACATCGTGGGATACTTTTCGCAGATGGCTTTCAGAACAGCCTGAGTTGGGAGTAAGAATCGTTTGGCGCTTGGCCAGAAGCTAGCCACGAAGAAGGCTAGCTTTCACTCCCAAAAGCAGTCTGCTGAAATTCTCTCCCTCCTGATGTTCAGAAGCGGATCGAGTGGGTGTCCAAGGTTGCTCACTTCCTATGAGCATCCTCGCCTGACTTTCAATGCCGCAAGATGAAAAAGAGTTTGTGTTCGAATTGTAATATGTGATTGTAATAATGATGAGAATAATTGTAACCCCAATCTCCACCAATGACAATGATAACCGCCATAATAGTGATAGTAATCATTACTACGGTTACTACATGTTTGTCACGATCGTTATTACTAGTTACTAGCAATAACGATCGTGACAAACATGTAGTAATGATAACAACTGCGATTATCATGTTCAGAAGGTAGAGCTTGCAGGCTGGAGTCTACCAGCATCGTCCGCTCAGGTGTTGGGTGAGAGGAGCCGTCCACAATGAACTGCAGATGCGCGACCTGAACATCCAGTTCTACACCAAGATCCGGCGGGCTGCCGAGATGCACAAGTTGGTGGTGGAATGTTGTGTTTTCCAGCTTTCAACAGTTTTCGTCCAGAGGGTGTAGAGTCCCAAGCCTAGCCGTCAATTGCGCGTAGCTCTGTAACCCGGGCTTGCCATGTTCGCCTTGATCGCCATGATGTGTGTGACGCATGTTGGGTCCCAATGGGTGGACGCCCGCGGCCTCTTCACAGGAAGTGGATGGTTTCAAACAAGTGCAGTGTCATATGGTGGCTGGAAAATTGTGGTCGCAAGACACAACGAGAGTTCCAAATTGCCAAACCTTCCAGATGCGGTGCTCCAAAATAGAAGGGATGCACGTCCAGAAATAGAATAAATCATTGCACAGTGATTCCCAAATCGACAACGCTGCGAATTGTCGGCGCAGCCTACCGTGACACCTGACCATACCTGACCCATTCCTCATGCGTGGTTTCGGGTGCCCTGACAGGCCTTTGTCAGTTGCAAACTCCGACAACAGCAAGTGCCAGATGTTGCTACGATGCACTCAAGACTATTCAACCCTGAAACCGTAAACCCTGACCCGCAGTCAGGGTTTTCATGTGTTGCTCATTGCAGCAAAGAAATTGAAACGTATGCTTACAGCACATGACATGAGTCGCCAACTTTTACAGCGATAGCCCCGTACACACATGGAAGAGAAAGCGGGGCCCTTGAATTGTTAATGCGATTTGGCTACCCCGGGCTGTGCTGAGTAGGGTATGTTATCTACTACTTCCACCGCAGCCCCTGTTCAAAAAAAGGGTATCTACTAAGACCCCCCAAGAAAGAGCTACATTGTGTGATGCATGCGTTGCACTTGTTAAAATTCAAGTGCCCTTGTCATGGGGACTCTTTGGCCGGTGTGGACAGCTTTTCGCATTCTTGCAGGAGCGCGGATGGCACATGTGGGTATGCCGCAAACAGCGACATAGGGTGGAAGGGCAACCGGCCAGCATCAATATGGGGCCAGGCATGTTTCGTATGTTTCAGGAGTCTACAGAAAGGAGGACGGGGCATGGTGGAAGTTCTTGAAGCTGGTGGGTCGAACACTGGTCGAACCGTCGGGTGCAGTGCCGGAATTTGGATGCAACTACCCTTTCCATAGTGCCATGCGAAATCTCGAGGCCGGGCCATCCCCGAACCCCGAACACAACAAACAAAGAACGAAACTTGCGCACACGCCTGAATTGAGAATTAGAGTATTTGTATGAGCTACAACAAAGCCTTCCTCCGAAGATCCGAAGGCATTGCCATCTGTCAGCGTGGTCTGCTCTAGAGTCTCTAGACTCTAGAACCAATCGATCCAATCGCAGGCTTTCGTAGCCACGATCCCCACAAAGGGTTTATGCACATGAGTGGAACTCTTGTTCACTAAATGGAAAGCTAAACATATATTCACATGCGAATTTGCCCTCAAGGTGCGCATTGGGCCACTGCACGTTGTGATTTCAGAAAACAGGCCCCATTTGGTCGCGACAAGGGAAGGTGTGCAGATTACGCAGGGCGTCGGGATATGTCGGGATCCTCCACAGGGATCAAAAGGGCTCAAACCATGCATGCCAGTGTATGCTGTTGTTTTTTATCCATCGGAATGCCCGCAACCGAGTAATTGCATGTATCGAGTTGAACTCATGAATTAGCATCCGCTTAACCTTGATCCTTAAAACCCCGACCTGACCCCTGGCCTCTACTGTACCTCTGATCTAAAGCCAACCTAGATACACCCTTCGCACTTAGCACTCCCCTCCTCCAAGCCCTCCGAGGCCCTCGAAAAAAGTCATCTCGCCAAATGAGAAATGCACCCAACAATTCTCTAGTTTGTGTCATTGTCTGTGTCTATCTCTCTCTCTCTCTCTTGTGTGTGTGTGCGTGTATTTGCATTTTCTGCAGCCTTCAACACCCATCACTCCGCTCACGAAAGAATGCATAAAGAAGAACATAAGCACGAACGAAGCAGAAACCACTCTTCATTGGAAAGAAGCGGCTTTCATTGGAGAACCTGTAATCTCAACTTGCACTAGAACCCATTGGAAGCAGCACAAAACTCATTTTATTGTCCAGCTCTTTCTCAGAGATTCAGCGTTTCCCCCCGGCCGTTTCTGTGAAGAAATCGGCGGAACAGCTGTGAGATGTCCATTATTCTATTATCATGCAGGTGCAGGATCAGCGAGTTCTTTTCAAGACACTGGAAGGCTTCCAGCTGATGCCTCACCAGCTGGCAGCGATTGGCAGCGTTGCCTCCATGCGTTTTTGCTTTCTGCTTCCCAGGCAAGGCTCTCCCGTCATTGACCTTGGGCTCACATTCTTCACCGAGTTGATTGTGCTTGCACACTGAGATTGTCATGTGATGCATGCTCACAGTATTAGAAATCGAGTGGCCCAAGTTCATCCAAGTTCCCACCAGCTGGCTTTGATCCATGGTGAGATCAAATCCAACCTCCTCACAAAGGCGCGTGTGTGCTGCTAGCTGCTCGGGGCGGTTGTTTGACCGGCGGGATATGGCTGGATGTCTGCGTGGGAAGTAGAGACTGTCAACGTGGTCATTGAACGATAGTTCGGCTCCTTGTGATGGCATCTGGTGTAGAGTGGCCACAGCCTGGAAAACTTGGCAATTTCGCATGCTCAGCAAGGGTGCACAAAATCCGCCTAACTCTTGTAGCTGTCAATGTTGAACATCCGTCTCTGGGAGTCTTTATGTCAAGGCAACTTAGCCATCAGCATCGTGTTGAATTCTGTAGCATTGGGACCTGTAGCATTAGGACTCAGGAGCCGAGCTGCCCGATTGCTTTCCTTGGGGGCATGTCCATGTTCAGCCATGAACTAAGCCGAGCGGATCATCCCACATGCAACTGAAGCAGGATGAAGCCTCCCGGATGGTACGCTTTCTGCGGGAGGTAGGAACTGCTTGGATTCTTTGTTCCATGATTCCATGGCTGCTGTTGTTTGCATGAGGCGTATGCCGATCCCACGCTGTTTGGGTGGGTGAAACGCAAGAGACTTTGCCAACATGGGAACCAGGCAATCCTGACAGGCTGACTCCCAGGCTGACTCCCAGGCTGACTAGCTTGTTCAGCTTGTTCTGAGGTTTCAACATGTCGCCGCGGGAGTTCCAGTGGCAAGACTTCTTGTCTCAAGCCCGTCCTTTGGAGTCTTTGACTTGGACGGACCGCATGAATGTGTGACATTGAAGCTAAGAAAGTCTTCAGATGCAGTTGAGATCAGTTGAGTCTTTTGTAGATCACTGGCATCAGCCTGCGTCAACCATGAAGAAGCAGCACCGTCAGTCAGCTTGCTGGACATGGCACTTTTTGGTCTCGTATTTCTTGTCGTGCACCTAGGCGATGGCAGTCGATTCCCACATTCAGTCCAGCGTGAGTTGGTGCCTGATAGGTTTGCGCTTTGTGGCGGCCAAAATGACAGACGACTACATGACATTACATGACATTCTTGCAGGAGGGCTTCGGTTGAAGCATGTTGAATCGCATTGCTAACTGGGATGCAAATCAAGCAGGCATGAAACGAACTGAAATTGGTCAGAAGTGCGATGTGTATCCAACTACGTGCGATCATGCAATCCGTTTGCTGTCGAAGTTGGCTTTGTACCTCGTATGTGCACAACTGCTGCTGTGCCGACTGGCCACTGACAATTCCATAGCTTCCACTAGCTGACAAATTGGCTACTGCTACGTCTCTGGGTGCTAGTTCATGCTAGTTTACACTGGTGCGAAGTCATGCTCTGAGATTCTGCTCGCAGCCAGACTCGGTGCTAGCATCTTCCATATGGCCCTGTCTGTGTTTGCGTACTGTCATTGTGCTGTGACAGGTGGGTGAGGACCGGTGAGGATGCCATAGTGGCCGCATTGCCTGTCTGGCCAGTGCTGGGCAAAGCATCCGCTACTTCAGAGTTTTATGTGGCCAGGCAAGAGATCCCAGAGGTGTTCTTCATGCCAGACACTGTCTTCTTGAGCTCCCTGCTTAGACCATGCAGCTCTTCGCGTGCTGAAAATGTCTGTTGATCCCCAGGACATGTCGCTGCCGGCATCATCCTGGAGTCCTGCCGGCCAGAGGACCCATCCAGCATTTCTCCTGAGAGTGCTGTGCCTTGTCATGCCTTGTCCACGCCAGAGGAGGTTGGTCGAGAAGGCATTGACGAAGATGAGGAGATGATGAGGGAGGGCTTGGCTGAGGCCATGGCCATGTGTAAGTTGTGCAGCTTTTCAGGTCCCGGGTCTGTTTTGGCACGCTGCTCTAGGTTGCGGCCGCAGCCGCTGCCATCAAGGAGCCCGAGGAAGACCCTCTACAGATCAAGGCATTGTAGCCTTTCCCAGCTCTCAGCAGTACTTCGTACCTAGCCAAATCTGACTGCAAGGCTCCAAACAGAAATGCTGGTGCAGCTGTCAGTAAGGTCACAGAGCGCTATGGGGACTATGATGAGAGCTGTGGAGCGCCTGCCTTCGGGAGGTGCAGAATGCTGGGATGGATTTGGGCTTCTTCAACTTCACAGGTTTCCAAACGAAGAAGGCTTGGAACGATACCATACAGCATGACATGTTCGGTATGATCCTGCTGTTTTACTGTCGCCTTGTTTGGTTCCTTGGAGAATGCATGCAAGGCCGAGCCAGACTCTGCACCACCAGCAGCAAAGAAGCCCAGAATAGCTAGTTTCTCAGAGAGAGGAGTGTGGGGGCGCTGAAAGCAGACCTTGGAACTTGCATAGGTGCCCGCATGGCTCACAGAAGGTGCTGCCGTCCAAGTTCGCGGTGTCTGCAGCCCAGACAAGATCTCAAGAACTGGCTAAAGCAATGACATCCACGTGTTGAGGAGGCCCACGCCGAGGGCACGATCCTCGAGGTCAAAGGCAAAGGCCTCAATCTGCGTGATGCAAAGCAACGGCGCGGATGGCTTCTTGTGCATCCGCGCCGTTGCTTAGCAGTTGCATCAGTATTTGCTTTCGGATACCGAGGCGACATCTGCAGGGTGCGCATACTTCGGTCAGAAGGACACTTGCAGTTACAAGAAGTCCAGCCATTTGCGTGCATGAGAGCGTGGCAGAGATACTTGCGAATCTTGCAGCTGCGGCGGTTTCGTGCATGTATTGAAGGAGGTGATGCAAGAGAAGTGGAGGAGGTGCTGCCGTTGCCTGCGCGACCACCCAGTTGTTGCCTTCGTCGAGTGACCAGTAAAGAGCCGGCACAAATGCAAGCCGAGGCAATGATCCCGGTTGCGCCGGACATCGGGAGAAGTGTCAAGGCTGTCCCACGCGCAAAAGCTTGCAAGGCTACCAACAATGCTTCAGCAAGAGACAGGTGGTTGCGGGAGACCGGACAGGTGTCATAGGCAACGTCCTTCTCTTGCAACAGACAGTTCTGTTAATTGCATGTCTCGCATCATGCCAGCAAACTGTTTTTTCAGGCAAGCTTGTGGGTCTGGCTGGTGCAGAAGCTGTTGTACAGATTGGCGGGTGAGGGGCTGTGTCCTGCCATTTTTCTCAGCATGCTTGTTCAAATCCGAAATGCTGTCAGGATGTGCTATGAGACCTTGCCGATGACACAGCTGTGAGCCTAGTGAGATTCTCTCACATCGACAGTGGCAAAGCTCGATAACAGCCGACAGCCGAGGATTGCAGTGGTTTCTATCTGAGCATCTTCAGGAGGGTCTCACCTGGCGCGTTGATAGCGCTGTCAGACGTGCCAAAGTGTTGGTTGCCTGTGCTAGCTCCGGCCGCACAGCTTGCACGTCCATGACCCCGTGACGCCCGTGAGGCAGTCGATGAAGTTCAGACAAAACAGCATGATTCAGGGGCTCGCAAAACTTTCTTTCCATACAGGGCCAAACAGTAGATGCAACACGCAGCCCAGCTGGAAAGCCTTGCCGCAGTACTCGGATACGAATCACCACCGAAAGGGGTAGGGGCAAGAAAGGTGGGGCCCAGTTTGTTGGGGTGGTTTTGGATGTAGTCAAGGGTTTTGGGGTGATTTTTTTCGGGTTAAGGGATAGAAGACCAAGAAGAATAACCAATAGAAAGCAAGTACAACCAACAGAAACAACAAGAGAAAGCCAATACCGACCAACATTAGTGAAGGTATCTCGTGTTTTCTGGCTTTCCCGAGGATCTAGTTCAAAGGGTTTGTTTGTTTAATCTTAATGCTACGCGACCCGCCTCGGCCTGGGGGCGGGGTGGGGGAAGGTGGGGGGGGGTGGGGGTGGGTGGTGGTTTTGGTGTCAGATTCTGTAGCAGGAGCCCAACTGCCCCCTGGTCCGGGCAAACCGTCTCGAAAATGTAAACCTGGCCACGGCTCAGACTCTGAACATTTCTTTGACATACTCGTCCAGGTCACAACTTCCCTGTCTATTTAAGCACTGACCCAGCACAGGGTCACACACATCCAGACTTGAGCTCAAGCATGGCATGCTAACTTGTTGTCTTCTTGGTGCGCGTGCATGTGGCGCGCGATTTGCAAGCGTCGGCTGCGAGCTGCGAGAGCGTGGTGTGCGAGAGTGGGGTGTGAGTGAAGCTTGCGTTGGTTGAGCGTAGGGGCCAGTATCGCATGGTCGAAACGAGCGACAAAATTCGGCACTGAGAATCGGAGCATCTGAATGATGCCTCAGTGTGAGACCAAGCGTCTTCCACGGGGCTGTGGTTGCACGCAGGGTTTTTGTGCGAGAAGAATCACGAAGTGAGTGCAGAGAAATGGACTTGAGGAACACGACAATTCAGAATGTTTTTTTGCAGTTTAAGTTTAGGGTTTCGGGATTAGGGTTTGTAGAACAGCCGGAATCAAGCACCAAGGCTTTCGATTTTGACCCGCACCAAAGTACTTTGCGTTTCCCTTCTGGGCCGAAAGCGACTGGATGCTTTGTGAATGTGGCGTCGCACTGGGCATGCTTGCTTGAAGCTGCGCACTGCTACAGTCCTGACACGCTTCGCTGGGACAAGTTCTTTGATTCATCACGGGAGTTCAACGACACATTGAGCCGGTGCACGGTCTCCCTATTGCTACTCGCTTAAAACAAACAGGCGCTACAAGCCTCTGGACAATGCGATCTGCACGTTCAGAATCACCAGCATGTCTCGAAAAACGATTTCCATAAGATGGACAGCATGCGGTTGCGGAGAAACAAGTCTTCGTGGATAGAATGTTCGCATCCACTTCCCTTGACCCGACGATGCTCGCAGAGTCTTCGAACAGCGTCGAGGTCTTCGACATCACCAATGAAGATAAACGTTCCGGAACATCTTCGTTTAGGGGTATGGAAACTGTATGGGGTTTGTGTCCGCAGTCTTGGGGGGTGTTGCCGTTTTGCCCCATCCCAAAGAAAAATATGTTGGAGATTTTTTGGGGTCCAGGATGTAGCGGACGTTGGCTGATGTTGACACTGTCCCACAAACAAACCGCGATCACCACCATCGTTTCGACCGTGCAGGAATCATGGTCGGGGTTGCCTGTGTCACATGTGCTGCTGATGCCAGCAAATGTCAGGAACATATTGCCTTGGGTTGAGAGATCCGTGGCTGAAAGCGGCGATGTTTTGCACAGTCTCGGTCTGCAGGAGCTGCCCAGCTGCCCCGCAAGTGTTTCAGAGCCTGTCAAAAGATCGATCCCCGCAAGCGGCGTCCCACCTTTGACAAGAAGAACCAGTAAATCCTGGATTCGTCGAATTCGAATCTGGTTCAGTCACCTAAAATGTCGTGGCTCGGTACAGGCCATGAATGATTACTTTAGTCTTGTTCTATCTCGACAAGAAGACCAGCGATGCTCCACCAAACTATGGATGTGTCAGCGTGGTGAGTCAGCGGTATGCGGAGCTGACACAAGCAATGGTCAGTTGCAGCAACCCAAGTGCAGGACCAAAGCGCAAAAAATTGCATATCCCAACTTCCACTGCTCCACAGCGGAAGTTCAGCTTTGTACAGTGCAACAGATGAGCCGCCTGCACAGGGGTACTCAATGTTTAACTGAGCCCCAAACATGTAGCAGCAAGTGTTTGGGTTAGTGTTGAAGGATTGTCTTTCAGCTGCTGGGTGGACGTCCAAGCTCGCGGGCGTTGCTTGACTGGCGCGCAAAGACTTAGAATGACCCGGAGGGTAAACAATGAGAGAAAGCTTTGCATGAGCACGCGCGCACCATGAGGGAATGGCGTCTTTGTTGTTTTTGCATGTTCCTGCCTTCTTTTGCTCAGATGCGATGCTGCATCTGAGCACTTCTACAGTTTCCACTACGATTGCCCGAAGTTGTTGAGCAAATTAATTGGCCATCGACGGACCTTGCACATGAGTACGGATTCTAGGCTTCAGAATGCGGCTCAAGCATCCAGCAAACCTTGCTGTCCCTACTTACCATTGCACCGATGTCAGTCAAGGGGCGGCTGGGCCGAATTAACTCCCAGAGCCTGGAATCACGAATGCAAGCCCTGCCCGAAGAGTGCTCTACTTGAGGCCCCAACATGGCTCCCATCGCAGCTTTGCTTTAACAGTGACGTGGCACTGGATTGTGCCGATTGCAAGCAGAGCACGACAATGACAGACCCCACAAGACTCCACGAGGCTCCACAAGACTCTAGGCTTCCAGGCGATTGGGTTTCAGCTTCATGCACCGTGCCCAAGCAAGTCTCTTCAAGGGTGGTATATGCAAGGCAGCCAGATTCTTGTTTCGATTCGGATACCTGCAGGAGCAGCAAGTACTCGTAGCTTCTGGTAAAGGGCAACGGGGAAAGGTTTGCCCTCTCTGTGCGGCACAGCGCGTCCTGCTACCTGCTACCTTTTGAGCCAGTTGTAGACGATCTTCGTCTGAGTTCCGGTTTAGGGTTTAGGGTTTAGGGTTTAGGGTTTAGGGTTTAGGGTTTAGGGTTTAGGGTTTAGGGTTTAGGGTTTAGGGTTTAGGGTTTAGGGTT